CAATATTTGAGAGAAATAGGCCTTTTGTGTACATAGAAAAAAACTTAGGTCTTTCAGTTCAGCTCATGAAAAATGGGGGCAAAAACAAAAGTGTTGTGTTTATAATTTTGTTTAGTGTATATATATATATATATATATATATATATATTTTGACACCTTTTTTCAAGTAAACCTTTGATTTGGAAAACCTTGGAGTGCTGATACCTTTCGTTTGTATACATTTCAGTGCTTTCAAGCACCAAGTCCCTAAGGCTGTAGGTAGGAGTGCAAGGTTTCTTTTTTGTTCTAAATATATATAAATAAATAATACATACAGTTGCAAGAAAAAGTATGTGAACCCTTTGGAATGATAAGGATTTCTGCACAAATTGGTCATAAAATGTGATCTGATCATCATCTAAGTCACAACAATAGACAATCACAGTCTGCTTAAACTAATAACACACAAAGAATGAAATGCTGCCATGTTTTTATTGAACACACCATGTAAACATTCACAGTGCAGGTGGAAAAAGTATATGAACCCCTAGACTAATGACATCTCCAAGAGCTAATTGGAGTGAGATGTCAGCCAACTGGAGTCCAATCAATGAGATGAGATTGGAGGTGTTGGTTACAGCTGCCCTGCCCTATAAAAACACACACCAGTTCTGGGTTTGCTTTTCACAAGAAGCATTGCCTGATGTGAATGATGCCTCAAACAAAAGAGCTCTCAGAAGACCTACGATTAAGAATTGTTGACTTGCATAAAGCTGGAAAGGGTTATAAAAGTATCTCCAAAAGCCTTGCCGTTCATCAGTCCACAGTAAGACAAATTGTCAATAAATGGAGAAAGTTCAGCACTGCTGCTACTCTCCCTAGGAGTGGCCGTCCTGTAAAGATGACTGCAAGAGCACAGCGCAGACTGCTCAATGAGGTGAAGAAGAATCCTAAAGTGTCAGCTAAAGACTTACAAAAGTCACTGGCAAATGCCAACATCCCTGTTAGTGAATCTACAATACGTAAAACACTAAACAAGAATAGATTTCGTGGAAGGATACCACAGAGGAAGCCACTGCTGTTCAAACAAAACATTGCTGCACGTTTACAGTTTGCACAAGAGCACCTGGATGTTCCACAGCAGTACTGGCAAAATATTCTGTGGACAGATGAAACCAAAGTTGAGTTGTTTGGAAGAAACACACAACACTATGTGTGGTGAAAAAAAGGCACAGCACACCAACATCAAAACCTCATCCCAACTGTGAAGTATGGTGGTGGGGGCATCATGGTTTGGGGCTGCTTTGCTGCGTCAGGGCCTGGACGGATTGCTATCATCGAAGGAAAAATGAATTCCCAAGTTTATCAAGACATTTTGCAGGAGAACTTAAGGCCATCTGTCTACCAGCTGAAGCTCAACAGAAGATGGGTGTTGCAACAGGACAATGACCCAAAGCATAGAAGTAAATCAACAACAGAATGGCTTAAACAGAAGAAAATACGCCTTCTGAAGTGGCCCAGTCAGAGTCCTGACCTCAACCCGATTGAGATGCTGTGGCATGACCTCAAGAAAGCGATTCACACCAGACATCCCAAGAATATTGCTGAACTGAAACAGTTCTGTAAAGAGGAATGGTCAAGAATTACTCCTGACCGTTGTGCACGTCTGATCTGCAACTACAGGAAATGTTTGGTTGAAGTTATTGCTGCCAAAGGAGGTTCAACCAGTTATTAAATCCAAGGGTTCACATACTTTTTCCACCTGCACTGTGAATGTTTACATGGTGTGTTCAATAAAAACATGGCAACATTTCATTCTTTGTGTGTTATTAGTTTAAGCAGACTGTGATTGTCTATTGTTGTGACTTAGATTATTATTATTATTATTATATTTATAGAGCGCCGTCAAATTCTGCAGCGCTTTACAATGGGTGGACGAACAGACATGTATTTGTAACCAGACAGGTTGGACACACAGGAACAGAGAGGTTGAGGGCCCTGCTCAATGAGCTTACATGCTAGAGGGAGTGGGGTAAAATGACACAAAAAGGTAAGGATAGTATTAGACTAATTACAGTTTCAGAAGAGGATCAGATCACATTTTATGACCAATTTGTGCAGAAATCCATATCATTCCAAAGGGTTCACATACCTTTTCTTGCAACTGTATATTGTAGCTTTTTATTACGAAACTGAAGGATGAAAATTAATTTGCTATCCTGATGAAAACTAATGAATCTGAAAAGTTTCGGATCAATTTGTTCAAAAATGTTTTGCTTTTGGTAGGTAATTTTTTTTGGTTAAATCTGAATGCATGTATACTAAATAACCATACATGTAAAAAACTAGAATTTGGGATGCACTCACATGTATTCCACAAAGTGTATACCGTAAGTATTTACATATATAAGAGTTCACAGAAAAACACTGAACTAATATTTTCCTGGTACTCCATGATCTGTTTAAATCTTTGGAATTACCCATAAATTAAAGCAGCAGTGGGCTATAAAATAGTTCAATTGGAAGCAGTAGAGCATACATTATACATTATAAATCCAATGAATTATGCAATTTCTTGCTTTGAACTAAGAACCATGGGTCTCTTCTGATTACCTTTAGTATTACTTGAGTCTATTTGAATTAATTTAGAGACAAATATACATACTAAATGCTTTAACAACACCACAAACCTTTCCCCTAACTCTTCATAAGAATGGATAAACAAATAAAAATGTCAAGAAACTATTTGTGGGTCAAGGTTTCGATCATTGTAAAGTGCTTTATGTTAAGAGAGCTGAAATCCCCCACTTAATAATGCTAGTATACATGCATGATAACTTCAGCACAGGTATGTAGAATCTTACTTACTCCAGCTGGTAGGATCTCACAACATCCTTCCTGCATTGCCATTAGGGGATCACAGTATAAAAGGAATTTCTGAATATCAATCTGGAAGAAAAGGAGGAAGTGATATATATACCTGGATTTAAATTATTTGAGATGCTAAGAAGCTCTCCATGAAATCCTTCAATATTTTAAACAGATCTTAGGTGAACTTACATGTACTGGGGAACCATTTACTGTGTTTAACCCGATGAAGGTATGTCCATCCATGGCCAGGGGGGCCCTTGGCTCGATGGGTTTGAAGGAGATGAAGCTGCAGTCAATGTGAATAGATGCCATTTTTTCTTGAACGCTAAGCACAATCTTGTGCCATCCATTGTCAAACAGGGAGTACAAGCCCTGTCCAGCAAACGTGCTGCCTACATATTCTTTATCTTGTCCTCTGGCTTGGAGTGACACTGTACGATCCTTACCATTGACACCTATAGAGATCTGGGCAAAGCAAACAAGATGGAGGATATATGTCAATGACTAGAATGAAATTAATTATCCATGAAATTATATGTAAAACCAAGCCTTTCATAAAAAGAAAACAAGGAAATGATGGGATGGAAGGTTGTAAGTTATCATCAAGAGACATAATTTAATGAATAAACAATATCTGTAATCAGACTCAACCAGTAATGCAAAACTTGGACTATGGAGTGTGGACTGTATCTTAAAAAGTAATACCAGCACATTGCTTGCATCACTTTAAAACAAATAAAGGATTCAACTTAACAATGTGCTGTAGGTTATATTATCGAATAGTTTACAAACTCGGTTGTATGGGTGATGTTGCGAGTGATAATACCAATGTTGTGTGTGGTGAAGTTGATGATGCTATTGAATATGCAGATTACTGTACTTAACTAATTCTGCTTATTGATTATTTAAAAAATCATTACAGCACTAAAACAACCTTATTCAAGTCACGCAAATGTCAGAGATGATGTGGTGGAGTATAGGTACCTGTGGGTATCCTAGGTGATCACTGATTTGAAATAGATACCAATCTTCATCTGTTGTCTGTTTCTTTAGCAGCAAGGTCACCACAAGAGTAAACTGATCAGGAAAACCATGAGGGAATACCTGTCTGATATTTAAAATAATATACATCAAACAGAGATAGCATTCGTTCCTTTTATAAGAAACCATTATCTTCATACTGCAGTGATTAACCTAGAGTAAATATGTGGGATATTTCTTTTTGTGTTCTGAAAAGTGGGGTTTTAATTACATCATTAATGTGATTACATTTATTAAAGTGACAATTTTTGTCATAGTAAATTCAGTTCAAAAGGCCTCCAAATTTAGAGTTTTGAAAATAAAGGGAAAGATAACAATTTGCTGTTTGAAAAAGAGTTTAAAAAATTATAAATCCATTCTTTTGTGAAAATATGTAATATATTCAAAATTATTGTTAGTGCTCAAATGATGCAACAGATGAAAAAAACCCCATCATATTTAAAGGATTGCAACATTTGCTGAAAATTACAAATAAAAGTGTCAACAACGCATTAATAAATCTCCCCCAATGTTCTAAAAGTTGTGCAATCTCTAAGGAAACCAATGTAACGATCCCCCCAAAATGGTCTTGATGAGTAATCCACATTTCATTAGTGTATTTTTTTTGTTTTTTGCAATTTTGCATTAGTACTAAGTAAGTTACTTTTATTTTTATAACTATTATTTTTATGTGGTTGAACTTTCATGCTAAAGTCAGCACCTTGCCAGGCTGATTAAATCCATAAGGTCAAAACCACAGTTGAAAGCTGGTTTCTGGTCACTGTTCCTTTTCGATGATAGCCCTGGCGTGGTTTTAGAAAAAGCTGTGTTTAAAACAGCATCTATTTCTAAGGGTATCTGTAGAAATGCAGTATGACATCTTAACACGGTGCCTATCTGTGTTCATTCATTTGCATGCCAAGCTGGTAGTTGTGGAAACATGATTTTTCAAGTTTCTGTGCCTAAGGAGGACTTATCAAAGTACAGCCTGAGATATGCAAATGATGCGTAACAGTAACTTTTCTATATTTTATTTCAATAAACCATATGCCTTTATGTATTTAATAAATTATTTAAATTGTTCAACCCCCTCTGTGTTTTTTTGACCCTGCTCATTGAAAATGTCAACCTTGGGTCTAGCATGATTCAGAGAAGACAAAGCAGGTTATATTGAAAAGTGCAAGGATAGCTGGTGGTTTCATCACTGCTCAGAGAATAACTAATTACATTTGGAATCCTTCTCTTGAGCCAAGACAGGACTTGGCACTACATCGACCTCCTGCCTCTGGTGGATTCTATAATTTAATGCAGGCTCCTCTGGCCATGAAAGAGTTGATCATGAGTGGCTGTTACTCCTGATTTGACATGTAACAAAGTCTTTGAACAGTACCCCAGATCAAGCTTGATTCTCTGAGTAAATAAAAACCAAGAAAGAATATCTTCTAGTTTCATGCTTTAGTTCCCCCATGAGCCCTGAAATAACTCTAAAACTATAGAGCCAAAAACACAATGTCAATGTTACTGAAACTAGATGAAGCATCAAATAGTGGGCGATATTAAGCTGCAGCTTAATTCTCATAGAACATATTGATTTAATATAGAAAATATTGATTTCTTGATGTCACAAAATATAAATGGAATTTCATTTTTTCATTGATAATATGTATTACAAAATAATCCTAACTCTATATTACGGTGCAACCACTACAGTGGCTCTTATCTGCTATCACGTGTTGTTTAATATATCAATATTCTTTCGACTGCCTTTTAATAGCAGCATGGCACACAATCCAACGTTAAAATTAAAAAGAAAATATTTATTAATAATTTTTAATCATTTTCTACTAAATCCTATAAAAAATGCCACCCCTTAAGGACCATTTATATTTTATTCCATCCTTAAATGCATCCAAAATAATTATGATACAAGATCTTTAAAGTCTAGATTATTAAACACATTTATATCGACTTTGATCCTTAATGCATAAACTAGAAAACAAATGACATCCTCCTCTGGCACATACTAGGGATGAGAACAGAGTTACAATTGATATAAACGCAACAATTAGAGAAGGAAAACTAAAGCTGTATTTTGATTGCCATTAAGCAGTTTCTTGGTGGAGATATGTGTGATCTCATCTCCCTCTTGCATGCTGATGTCATAACTGGACCACTAGAAAACAGAAGGCTATTTTACAAATCTTGCCTGACTCTCTCTTTCTACCACCCCAGCCACGCAGGCCTTTCTGGGAGAAGTGCCAACAAAAAGAAGAAGAAGAAAAAAAAAGAAGACGCTTGCAGCTCTGTGTTGCATAATTGGTTGGACGGGTGCCCAGGATGATTATGTGCCTGAGGCTCACTTTCCAGGATTAGAAAGGGTTTACGAGTCTTTCAAATAGCTTCCTTAAGGGTATTCTCCTTAACAACATCAGTAACGAGAGGGACACATCATTCAGAATGGCAGCAGTAGGAAGTTATTATTAAAATCTCCTAATGTAGAGTGGTTCCGAGTCTGTCCAATATCATAATTGCTCTAGAACGTGTGTATATTATGACCAACCCATTTGTTGCCATGGCTTTATATCAGGCATTGAAAATATTTGAAACTTATTAACTCTGGACTTACGAAGTTGACTCCACCAGCCGAGCACCTCCTAGTCTCATGATAATGGGCCCTTTGGGGTTCTTAATCTTTTTCACTGAGCTCATTTTCTGTAGGGAGAATCTGCGAATCAGGTTGAATCCTGGATAGGAAGCAAGACAGACATAGAGATAGTGAATACTAAGTAAGGTCCAATTTGTCAATAAATGAGATCCTGTATCATTTTCCAAGATTAATACTGATGAATATGAACATAACAGTTCTGTTTTATTTTTTTACATGTGAATATTAACAGACTTTTAGCTGTTTTCTTTCTTCTAATTCCGCAGAATGAGAATGTATCTTGCAAGTATTCTCACCTGCTACTAACGCATGTTTACAGGGCATCCTTGTCAAAATAATTCAGCAGAAATGTAGTCCTCATGTGAACTTTCACCCAGTGCTGTTACCCCAGGATATATATTTGTCATGCTGTCTGCTTCTAGAGTAGTCATATACATATGAATGCAAATGATATATTTTCTACATGTGAAACAATACTACTATTTATTTGAAACAAATTATTTTTATATCTCTATTGAAGTACAAACCTAATGCATGGCTATTTATATTCCCTAATGCTATTATTTATTGTAATTGCCAATATTAATAATGAGCTTATAATAATAATTCTGAGTGTCAAGCAAGCATTTGTCAAGGAAACCTCTGCTTATTTATTCTGATTTAATCCTCTTTTAGGCAAGTTTAAATATTGAACAATGAACATGTTTTTTCTTTAACATTCCAGTGGCAAGCCTATATAAGATCAAGCTATAAAAATAAATGTCAGATAAAAAAATATAACAACATATACTGCCAAAACAACACATTTTCCTTGCCATATAAAGTTATCAGATTGGTGTTACTTCCTGTACTGGACAGAAGTCCCTGCAGAAGCTGCAAAGCCTAGTGATTTGCAACAAATATAGTAAATTCACATGTATCTTTCTTTTATATAGAGATGTATGTGAACACAAGCAGAAGAATGTTTATGTTGTTTCACATGTTAATATTAACTTCCACTAGTATCAAGAGCTGTGCCCAGTGGCATAAACCTGCTCAGATAATTATCTGTGGAAGATAAAAATAATAAAACAGCAAACAGGAAAAAGAAGGTCCAGGCACCTGATGCTCAAATAGACATATTTATTTGGAACACAGTTTCCGGCCGTTTTAACTGAATGCGTTTTTCTCAAGCTTCAAAAATACCCATTTGTGTCCAAATGTTGGAATGCCTGGACCTTCTTTTTCCTGTTTGCTTACTAGTGTTGGGGATTTGTGCAAGGCCCTAGTCTGGTAGGACCCGTTTTTGCTCTGTGGAATAAGTGCAGTCCCTTGTACATGGATTGTGGAATATAAAAATACAATCATAAGAGAGGCTGCAGGCTGAGATTAATAATGTCACTTACTGAAGATTACTCTCCTTTGCAATAATACACAGATCACAATGTGTCTTCTTCTTCCAGACAACAATAAATGATCTGGTGTGAATCCCACCAAGGATTTGCACAAGAAGCACAAAATAAAGCATGCAACATAATAAATATAAAATAAAAGAACTGAAGAAAGGAGACGTGGAAAGATATAAAACTGTGATGTAAATGTTTTCGTAAAAATATTAGATATTAACTTGTGTAGTATTCAATAAATACAGAAAAAAAATAAGACATGCCAAAAGAAGAGTGCAGTTTTTACATACATTTAATATGATTAATGGCCATTCTCAGGGCCTACATACCTGTTCTGTTTGCGTTTGTTTCTCCTGTGTTTGGTCCTTCATTCTGTAAGCTCGGACATAGATTTTCTGTGGAATGGATTGTTGATGTATTAAGCACTCAGTATAATATGGAATCTCTTAGTGAGACACACAAAAGTGATATACATTGTGCATGATATGCATTGTGCACACCAAATATATGAATACATTAACCAACTCAAATTTAGCATGTATACATCATCAGCAGGCCCGGACTGGCCATCGGGCACACCGGGCAAATGCCCGGTGGGCCGCGGTGTCCGTGGGGCCGAGGCCGGCAGGGGAGGTCCCAGGATCTCCCCGGCCGGTCTATGCAGGGCCGGCACTATCCGAGCGCCGGCCCCGCTGTCTTCCATGGAGGGCCGGTGGGGAGATCAAAGATCTCCCTCACCGGCCCATTTAAACAGACCTGCGGCTGGGGAGAGAGGGAGAGGACCCGGCGGAGCTCTATCTTGCGGCTCCGCTGGGTTTCTCTCGCGAGATCCGGAGCGTTGCCATGGCAACGCGCCGGATCTCGCGAGAGTGAACTCCACTGGACCACCAGGGATGATGTGAGTGTGCCGGTCCCCCTCCTCCCAGCTACCACCGTGCCGGACCCCTCCCAGGCTAAAGGTAAAGGGGGGGGGGGGAAGATATAATGCATTTTTGTTGTTGGTTTTCTTTACCCTCCCAACACACAATCACTTTTAACATTCACACACAGCACTCACACAGCACTCTCACACACAGCACTCTCACACACAGCACTCTCACACACAACACTCTCACACACAGCACACACAGCACTCTCACACACAGCACACACAGCACTCTCACACACAGCACTCTCACACACAGCATAGCACTCTCACACACATCACACACAGCACTCACACACCCTGCACTCTCACACACAGCACAGCACTCTCACACACAGCACACACAGCACTCTCACTCACAGCACTCTCACACACACCACTCTTACACATCACACACAGCACTCTCACACACAGCACAGCACTCTCACACACAGCACTCTCACACACATCACACACAGCACACTCACACACAGCACAGCACTTTCACACACATCACACACACACACAAATCACACACACTGCACCCTTTAACACAGCACCCACATACAGCACCCTTAAACACAACATACACAGCATCTTCACACACAGCACCCCTCAAACACAACATCCATCACACACACATACTGCACCCTTCACATACACACTACACCCCTCACAGACACCCACTGCACCCCTCACACATACACGCAGAACCCCAACACACTGCACTAAACACACACACACAATACTTCCAAACATATATATATATTTTATATATATATACACACACACACCACAGCACCGTTCACACACACTGAACCGCTCACACACATACTGCACCGCTAAACATATTACATTCCAGACACACACTATATCCCTTACCCAACTATGGATCATATACACACACCAAATCCCTATATACACTCTGATTCCGTTATATACACACACTCACTAGATCTCATACACATTCTGGGTCCTTCAAACACACACTAGACTCCTGTATACACACACACACACTGCACCACCTACACACACTACATTCCTAACATACATACTTTGGATCCCTGATACACACACACTAGATTCCTTGTAAACAAACACATGCTACACCCCTAAACGCACACTCTCTACAACCCCTACAAACACTACATCACCTATATACACACACACACTATAGCCTGTGTGCATACATTTACTACATCCCCTATACACACATTCTCTTCAGCTCCTAGCCACATATGCATTACATTACACCACAAACAGAACACGACTAAAACCAACCTTATTACACAATACCAAACCACGACCAGCTCACTCTGCACACACACAATCCCAAAGCAGGCTCCAAACACATGCACAATACTCTTTCCTTGCCCTTTTGTCTCCAGGTATCCATTTATAGAGACACCAGAGACAAGTTTCAAGGAAACACAGTGCAAGCATGTTATTAAATTTGCTTGTACTGTGCAGAACAAATACAGGTTTTTTTTTCTTCTCATGCTAGAGCTCTTTAGCAGAGCTCTGCCCTGGAAGAGCATTGACCCAACGCTCACTTTGAGAGGGGGCGTGTTTGTCTTTGGTGATGACGAAACACACCCTCTCTGCCCCACCCCCTTCTTAGTGGGCCGCTGTGCTAAAAAAATGCCCGGGCTGAATTTTTCTCCCAGTCCGGCCCTGATCATCAGGGTTATGCTTCCACATTTACAAGCAGCAGACGAGAGGAAGCCAGACTGGGACATGGAGAACTCAACTTCTGTTTTATGTTTAATGATTGAAAACTGTTTAATATGTGTAGAAGTGTAAGGAAGTGGGCTCTTAGACCATTCATTAACATGCAGTGGTTGTGGTGCCTGGAAAGTTCCTTCAAGCAATGATACGAAAAAGAGAATATTCCAATGTTGATGTTTTTACTGGTAAATATTATGCTTTAACACTGCGTATTTCCCAGGTGATCTTCCATTCACAGAGCTGAACATAAGCTACAGTGCATGTTATCCATATTGCCTGATGCACTTATGAGTGCTCACTTTACTCTGTTTTGTGAGATTTTCTCCAGTTTCACTAACATAACACCAAGGATGGGAGGACATGGTATTATGTAAGCAAAAGCCAGCTGAATTTTGAATGGTTCATTGGCATTACACGTGGAGCTGCAGATCGGAAAATTTAATAATTACTATTTAAAGGACCACTGTAGGCACCACAGCTTAATGAAGTGGTCTGGGTGCCAGGTCCAGCTAGGGTTAACCCTTTTTTTTTTTATAAACATAGCAGTTTCAGAGAAACTGCTATGTTTATAATATGGTTAATCCAGCCTCCAGTGGCTGTCTCTTGACAGCCGCTAGAGGCGCTTGCGTGCTTCTCACTGTGAAAATCACAGTGAGAAGACGCCAGCGTCCATAGGAAAGCATTGTGAATGCTTTCCTATGGACTGGCTGAATGTGCGCGCAGCTCCTGCCGCGCATGCGCATTCAGCCGAAGAGGAGGAGAAGAGGGAGGAGAGCTCCCCGCCCGGTGCTGGAAAAAGAGGTAAGTTTAACCCCTTTCCTCTCCATCCAGCCCGGCGGGAAGGGGACCCTGAGGGTGGGGGCACCCTCAGGGCACTTTAGTGCCAGGAAAACGAGTATGTTTTTCTGGCACTATAGTGGTCCTTTAACAATACGTACAAACATTACGTACTACAGAGAATTTCATGCTTTATACAAATACTATTTAATAGCACCACTTCTATAAACAAAGACGACTTTACAAAAACCACAAAGGATTAGTGTCACGGGTTTTCCTCATCTCTGCAGACTGCCAGGCAAGGCTGCCCTATTGGGAGGTGTTCTGTGTTAAACTGTGTTCCAGTCAGATTCACTACCCTGTGAACTACTGCAGTTTGACATCTGTCCCTCTCGTTTGCAATTTAGCCTGCATCTCTGAGGGGGTGGACTACTGCTGACCCACCTGCAACTATTTCCTCATCTCTGTCTCATTTACTGGCCTATAAGCACTGCCTCTCATCAGCTTTAGGGTCCGTTTGTTGTTACCGATTCTGGAAGCGTTTACCTACGCCTGAATTTTGATTTTGTATATCTATTTATGGACTGTTGTTTATGCATGCTTTTTCTTGTACTCTGAATTTGGATTTCCCCTTTTCTAAACTGTGCTTCTGGGTCTGCCCCCTGCACAGCCCCCATTAACACATTCACTCTACAGGTGATTTATCTAACTAGTCACTGTGGGGTGTGATATTTTGCAAGGGTAAGCACTCTGGATTTTAACCGCAGGTAAACCCTCACATTTAGCTCCCATCATATCCAGTTTTAGTCATTTAGAAAATGGTATACTTTTACATTTCAACAATTCTAAACTTTTCTTTATATGATTGCAGATGGGTTGCGTGCTGCTTGGATGCTTGTAGACACACATTTTACTTCAAGTACAAATATTTAACTTTGATACAAACTTCAAACAACTTTAAACGCTGGCGCCTATTCAATATTCTGTAAAGCTTCCTTGCTTTGGGAGATTAACAACATTAAGATAAATTGACAACATTACCATACACGTGTACACTTGATTGGTCTCCAGAACACTTAGAACATCATTGTGTATAAAGCTACAATACCCAGCAGGACATTGATTCATTTATATTCTTTACTCAATACCGTATGGATCAGTCGGAGCTGAGGCTTGATGTATATTTACTGAAGCAGTTCCATCATTTCCAACCTGCTGCATTATTCTTGTCAATAATGGGGAATAGTGTGTCCACAGTGACTACCCTTGACCCCCATGACTGATGTTTGGGCCACAATAACTGTTTCTTGTTTTTATAGTGGTGACTATTTTTTTTGGCCTCTCTTGTCTCTGCTCTCCCATTTAAAGCAGCACTGTCACACCAAACTTACTTTTCTCATATTGTTATATTCCTATTCTTCTCTTCCTCTCTCAGAATCTGCTCCTCTTTTCTTTATATCTGATCTAGTTTACTCTAATACATAAGACAAGGTAGGGACTACTTTTTCCTATGTTTTTCCTGTGCCTGACAGTCTCTGACACAAGGAGGAGACTAAGTCAGCTCCATTTCCTGGGTCATGGAGAAGGGTCAGTACTTTCTTTGACACAGGAAATGCTTAAGCTTAAGACTTAAGCTTATCCTTGAATGTCAGATGTGGGAAAAACACACAAGACAAAGTAGTTTCTAATTTGTCTTATGTTTAAAGAAAACTATATCAGAAAGGAAGAAAAGAACAGATTCTGAGAGAAGAAGAGAAAAGGAAACAATAGGAGAAAGGTAAGTTTGGCGTGACAGTGCCGCTTTAAGTTATGTTGGTGGCCCGAGTGTTCAGTGACTAAAACATGAAGGAGCAGAGTAGAGGTGAAATCTCTCTGTGATTAGTCTGCAGGTATTATTAGTGAATTTAGTGAGGTGGGATCTCTCTGTAATTAGTGCTTCTTTCATTAGTGAATCAGAGAACCTATCTCCCATTTAATGTTCTGAAATAGGGTTAGAGCTGAGTGCTATGAGTATATGAGGGGCTAAACTTTTGCTGAACTCTGATGCTGAAAATTAACCAAGAGTTTCCCATGTGCTGCTGTGCAGAATCCCCAAATAAATTGTTGCATTTCATCTGAATGTAATTAGAACTTCTCAACAAATTAATTAGCTTTTCATTTATACCAAAGCAGCTGTCTATAATGTAATTTCAGTTTGGTAGGCAAGTACTTGGAGTCAATGTACAGAATATACAGAATGGAGCTGATGATTTTTTTGAATTTTTGATGATAATTAGAAATCTGGGGCATTTACGTTGTCAACAGAATCCTGAAGGAATAACCATTTCCAGCTGTTTTATAACTCATTGAGCTTATTACTTGACATAATTGTGATATGACATCAAAATACTATATTTTAAAGGTACATACCCAACAAATGAAATGCATGAGGAATGTCATATGAAAGCAAAGTAGTTATGAAATTAATTTACAGTTTCATCCTCTATTACTGAATAAACACTACTGATAATAGTTAACATAGATTAGATTACACCTGTACAATTATTTCAACATATACATTGTGACAACATATTTTACAGCACTCTACATTGAATATAACAAGACAAATAAAATCTAACAATATGTCACAGTGGTGGAGGCAACCCAACACACTTAATATACCAGAGCATTTGTTAGAGAGCGTATTACCAGTCCTTAGGTTTGCTGGACTTAACGCAAGAACCAAAAAGAGAATAGACAAATTACTTGCTGAGGTCAAAGACAAAAGAGGTACAAGTGATGTGCGTCACTGTCTTAAGTGTGGCAACAACATGTAGCATCCATCATTAAATTGAGGCACATGCATTGCTTGTCAGAATGGCATTGTAGCAGAGCACAGATGCCAGACAGATGTGGGGCCAGGGAATATTTGCATAAATGACGTGGAACCAGGCGGAGGAGGCAGGAGTAGACAGATACTGTGACACAAAAAATAGATTTGACATATGGGGACAGTAGGTGAAAAGGGGAGTTTTTTTTTTGTTTTTTGTTTTTTTGAAGGACTGCAGAGATGGTGAGAGTCAGATGTGACTTGGGAGGGTATTCCATAAAGAAGATTTACTTGGATACAATACTTCATTACAACCAGACTATTTAATAACATAGATAAAATATACCGTGCCACAAATATATCAACAAACACATCGTTCCAGTATCAAATAGGGGTTCAATTTACAAGCCCTCTACCCCTTATGAGCAGTGAATGGCATCAAGGAAAATACAAAAACACTTGACAAAAACAAAGACATGATGGGATAGGTTCAATTGTTTTCGGTAGTGAGGAAGAAAAAAAGAGTGCATTTTTCCTCAGTAAGAATTGAAATAAGGCTGTTGTGAGAAAGGGCACACTAATGTGATATGTACCCATTGTGTTGCTCTTGTCCTTGGAAAGAGCGGCAAAATATTAGGGATGTTGTGATGAGTAGTGCAGAGATACAGGAGGGTGAAGGATGGAGCTGAGATGCGTTGTTGGAGAATATAGTTTTTTTTTGTTGTAAGATTTGCAATTATGTAGCACAAAGTAACAGTTGTTAAAATCCAATAAAATAATAGAAAATAAGTAACATCCGCTCAGGAGTGTGTCTTTCTTCCCAAGCCATGTAGACATAGATATGCATGCAAAAATACATACGTTCACAAATACACAAACATACAGACAAACAACCATAAAGGCATACAATCAAAAATACATAATCATTCAGAGACACAGACAGAGAGACATACAGACACACGGAGACAAACATACCTACATACAGATGTACAGGCATACAGAGACATACAAGCATACAGAGACACACAGGCATACAAACAGAGACATACATACATAAATACAGATAAATGCATGCATGCATGCAGAGACATTCATACATGCAGAAACATACATACAGAGACATACATACATGCAGAGACATGCATACAGAGACATACATAAACATACATACAGAGACATACATACATATTGGTACATACAGAGACATACATACAGAGACCTGCATCTGCACACCAATAAACTTACTTCGCTATTAATATGGTTTATTTTAAAACTGAGGACTGTAGAAAGTAACCACCTCACAAGTTTGATAAAGGCTTCCTTCCTGAAATATCATTCCTATCACCTGAAATGTTACTGATGTATCAGTGTGCCATACCCCATGATCCCTGTAAATACTGCACAATAACATCAGACATGATCACAATCTATATTACATGCTCTCCCCCTCAAAGAAGGAATGCATACAGTATACCTGTGCAATAAAGATATTACAATAACCCGTACGTGATAGAGAAATAAAGTTAATTTTGGAGCTGGGCTTTAAGCTGTTTCAGGCACATTTGTTTATTTAAAAAAAAAAAATTGTATAGAAAATGTTAACCGCCTGATCACAAGTTAATATAACAGGGTGATCACACTGGTGTTATGGAGTGTTAAAGCTTAGTTACAGCCCGGGGGTCAATATCCACAGGTACACTCTATGCACCTACTGGAATCTGATATTGGCTCAGCTTTAACCCTGCAGCAGTAGCTGTCTGGCACATGTTAAATGGAGTGTGAGCTATAGACAAATTCCATGAATCAAGGACATTTCAGGTGAATATTTATGTATTTTAATGGTGTAAAAAGCTGAATTCAAAATCTGTGTTGAAGTACAGTATATACCTAGGCTCACCTTATCAATTGCTAAAGTGTTATCTCTACAGCAAGGAGAGAGGACATTGCATGGATATAAAAATCGATTCCGTGCTGTGGAAGATGTTGGCACTTTATAAATGCCAGTAATACACAAATAAAATAAATAAAAATACAAATTGGTTTTACCTGTTCCAGGCAAGATTCTCCCATTGCTACATACAAAGCACCCAAATAAACAAAGCACAGATGTCCAGAGAAGCCACATGTTGCTGGTTGGTGACCTCGATGACCCTAGGTGTTCTGTGGAGGAGATAGAGAATGTGCAGTTAGACATTAGCCAGGCGCAATAGACTTCTTCAAACGGTATACCTAAGAGACTGGATCTACTAGATCGCAGCAATGGAAATTAAACTGTCATTGAATGAAGTAGTCTGGTCCTGTCATGTCAATCTACATGAGCCTCCGTCACAGACTGGGCACATGAGTTGCAGTCACAGTCTGCAGTGGCCATATTATTCAAATCATACTGGAATACGATAAGGTAGTAACATTGTGGTATGTGGTATGAACATGTAATACGAGAATCTAACATAATGACTATTCAAGCGACCATCAGACTTAATTTACTAAAGTTAGAATTGTTGGGAATTTAAAGTGAATTTCAATTTTAAGGAAAAAGTTACTGAAATGGAAAAGATCTTCCAGTTTGGCTATCCTAGCCTTAAAGTTAAAATTCACGTTGAATTACCAACAATTCTCACTTTAGTAAATCAGCCTGCATTTAAAGTAACAGGGAAATGTGGTGTACATGCTGTTGGATGATTCTGCCAGCCCTGTACATCGGATCTGCTTTACAGCTCCAGCCAGTTTAACCCGCATAATTCATTCACTCTTTGCATTGTACATTGCTGTGCAATATGTTAGTGCTTCTCCAACAAAATTAAATGGCAAATGTTTCCTACAAAATGCCATTGTATTTTGTAAATACCAAGACACTAACCGTTAGACGTTTTTCCTGCCACGGATTGAGAAACTGATTTGTACATGACATAACACAGGATTGTGCAATACAAGAACGGAAAGAGCATTTATCCACTAAAGAATGAGTGGTAGTGATCTGTGATGAATTAAGAACCATTAACCCATTGTACAGCGCTACAGAATTTGCTGGCACTATATAAATAATAAAATAATAAAAACAATATTTATGAAACCCACATAAGATTATTATTATTTTTTTTTAATTCTTTATTTTTGTGTGCACAATATTAATATCGTTGCAAACGTAGCCACAACAGCTATCGTTCACAGATATAATAAACATTTTAAACAATCGTGGCTTTTGGTAGTCTTGCACATTTTATAATACATTTTACTCTATAGAAAAACCTTTGTTGTAGTATCAGTTGTGCCCTGTAAGGGAGTGAGGGGAGTGTAGCTCTGCGGTCTATGTGTCTGCCCTTGAGGGCTTCACCCCTTGCAGTTATTCTGTGTGGTTGCTTTCAGCATGATCCTCCGTGTATTGGCAAGGGGGGGGGGCGCGGTGTCCGGGTATCGTGCAGTAATGTGGCTTTGTGGTACCTTTTATGTGGTATGCGTCTGCCTCCTAATGTGGGCATGTCTACAGCGTTTGGTGTGTGTGTGCTTTCTGGTTTAGTCAGCCGTGTCTCCTACAGTGGCTATCTTGCGAGTGAGGAGCAAGTAGGTAATGCTAACTACAAGAATGCTAACTACACTGATAGGATCGGAATAAGAAAAGATGCTGCATTATTTTGTGTGCGAGCCCAAAGAGGGTTAGTGTGTCTGATTAGAGTGAGTCTTTGACTTTGTGGAATGTTCCGTCTGCGTAGTTGGTGGAATGGGATGGAGAGGAGAGTCCCTTTGTATTGGCTGGTTTCTTCCTCCTCAGGTGGGCTATGGCCCGGAGAGGCTCTGGAGGAGTTCCGTGGGGTGAATTCTCGGATGTTAGCCAGGTTCAGCTGGGAAAGGCCCTGTCTGGTTGCCGGTGCCGCTGGCAAGATGCCTGTTGATTGCAGGTGTGTTTCGAGCTCCTGTTTATCTTGCGCCTTGTATAAAGTCTTGCTGTGGGTGAACAGTATGGCTCGAGGAGTGCCCCATCTGTATGGGATTTCTCTGGACCGGAGATGGTGCAGAAGGGGTTGCAGTGTTTTTCGCCAGGCTATCGTGTTCCTGGTCAGGTCCGGGAACACTGTTAACGATGCCCCCTCGAACAGTAGGTTTTTTTTTCCCCGCATTGCAGTCAGAAACGAGGTCTTGTCGGCTAGTGTTTGAAACCTCAGTATGAGGTCTGCTGTCGCCGCTGTTGGTGCTCGGGGTGATTTTGGCAACCGGAACATGCCATCTAGTTTCATGGTTTTTACTCGTTTCGGTGGGAGCAGGACTTCAAGAAGGCGCCTGATGTAGTGGGGTAAGTCTGCAAGAGCTACCGACTCAGGTATCCCCCTTATTTTGAGATTCTAGTGTCTTCTCTGGTCCTCCATGGCATCCAGCCTGTCGTTGGTTGTGGTTTGCCAGTGGACCACGTCTGTAATTTTCTGTTCTACCTTGTGGAGCCTAGCGTCGTGGGTGCATGAGCAGGCCTCCAGCTGTGTGATTTTCGTTGTGGCCCCTTCTATATGGCTTTCCTATAGTAGGCCATGTCTGCCGTCAAATCTTTGCGGAGTTCCGCCAGCATTACCGTGAGCTGGTAATTTCTGCTGTCCGATGGGTGCCCGTAGGATGCTCCCTCCAGGACGTCTGTGGTGAAGTCCTCCGAGGAATACGAGGAGATGTCATCGGTAGGCGCCATTTTGGACCTTGCGGCCTGTTGTGTGGTCCGGAGCATTTCTCCAATGTCCCTCCCGTGGGGGCTTTTTTTGGCTTTTGCTTTTTTAGATTTTCTGCCCATGTTCTTTCTGCTCGTGCCTGGGTTGTTTGTAGGATATTTTGGGCCCGGTTTCCACCATATATCTCTATGCTTTTAAAAGTCAGAGACAGAGCTCCGAGAAATGCGTCCTCTCTGCTGCTCTGTTAGCTCCGCCCCCACATAAGATTATTTTTAAGATTCTGCAGTTTTGCCCTCTAGTGTGGCAAGTTACAACTCACTGAAAAGTGAGATTAGCATGTTTGAAAGATAGCAATTATGATTCTATATTACAGGGTTACACAAACAGGGTTCTCCTTTCCTGAATCTCTAAAGCTGGGATTTCAAACTCTAGTGCTCCATATTGTAATATTTATATGCGCTTACAACTCCCGGAATTCTTGAACGCAATAGCTTGTAAGAGAATCATGGGAGAGGTAGTTCTGCAACATCTGGGGGCCAGAGTTTTAGATGCCTGGCCTAAGTCATCAGGTACACTCCCCTTGTGACTAGACTCTAAGGAAATCCTTAGAGAGAGTGCTTTTCACTAGCTCCAGAAATGTTTTGACTGAACTGCAATTTTGGAATTTGTTTAAAAAAAAATTTGTCTCTTAGTAAATGAATACAAACGATATTGGTCCTCCCAGGATTGACCTTCAGTTTGCTATTCTGAAATTATGGAATACCCTTTAAAGGGAAGGAATAAGTACTATGTTTTATATCTCAGTAACTCATGCTCATTTTAGGGAGTGGCCCAATTTTACGTTACGTTTTAGTAACTATAAAATAATAATATAATATACTGCTTACTGAAATGGGATTACAATATATAGGGTTTCACTTTGCAGAACTGAAAGAGCTCAGAGAAATACTGCTTTACTAAAACAGTGTTTAGAGGTCTGTGGCAAAGTCTTCCAAGAGCTATGATGCAATTAGAGACCAATACTATTAAAGGGACACTCCACTGTCCGAATACAAAATAATAAATATCACTGTTTAGTAGATATAACTCGAATGGAAACACACATGCATTTAATTATGCTTTTTTAATTGGGAGTATATCTAAATACAGTCCTTCCTTTTCTTTTCCCCAGCCCAAACTTTCTGTGGCTGTCCAATCACAGGATTCCCAATTTTGTAAAATGAAAAAAAGGACACATTCTTCACACCTAACGCATTTCAGTGAATTAGGGGTCCGGAGTGTCCTTTTAAGGATTTGTAACATGTAACTTCTTTATAAAAGAAGATAAATACTGGATAAACTGATAGGGCTATTAATTAAAGTGAAATTCAAATGAAATTTAAGAATTTTAATTCAAAATGAATTTCAAATTTTAGGCCAAGATAGTGTAACTGAAAGCATAGCTGACTTGTCCTTTCTGTTCTGGCTATAGTTTACCTGTAACTTGAAATTTTATTTGCAGTCATATGACACTTTAGTGAAAAACCCTGTATAAGACGATTTTGATGTTTCCTATTTTCAATAAACGCTGTCCTAGCTGGTTATTGGGTTTGATCTACAGCAGCCCTGAATCAGAGCAATTCTGTTTCACGTTCAAGCACTTAAAGGACCACTCTAGGCACCCAGACCACTTCAGCTTAATTATGAATGCTTTCCTATGTGACCGGCTGAATGCGCGCGCAGCTCTTGCCGCGCATGCGCATTCAGCCGACGGGGAGGAGAAGGGGAGGAGAAGAGGAGGATCGGAGGAGGAGAGCTCTCCGCCCAGCACTGGAAAAAGGTAAGTTTTAACCCCTTTCCCCCTTCCAGAGCCGGGCGGGAGGGGGTCCCGGAGGGTGGGGGCACCCTCAGGGCACTATAGTGCCAGGAAAACGAGTATGTTTTCCTGGCACTATAGTGGTCCTTTAAATTCTTAGGTACATTTACTGCACACAAATAAAGCAAAACTTTTTATGCTATAGCAGGAGTCTGAGTAAGCTGTCCATAGAGGTCAATCGGGCTGACTTGTATGTCATTAGGTGTCTTGATTCTTTCAGTCATATTAGGGGTAGGCAGGTACACACATGTTGAGCTCCCCAGCTGCACATCTTTACCTAAATATATACCCTAGCCTAGGGCTTATGACCCCTCTGTGTATAACCTAGATAAACCAGAGTTTTACACGTTTTAAAAGCATTTCAGCAGCAGTACCATAATAGTGTCACATCCAGACTGGTAGTCGTAGATACTTTTAACTAACAAACATATCTATTATTGTGCAAGTTTACTATCAGCTCTGCTTTTCTCTGCTATATGAAGTGTAACGGCCTATAACGTTTTCCTAAAATTCCTCTTTAACGAGTATGTGGGGTTGTTAAAAAAGATGAGATCATTATTTTTTGTTTCACAGATCCTTTCTTTACATTTTAGGTCTACGAGCAAACTGCAGCTACATATGTACACACAGTTAAGATTTGTGCCAAAAATCTGTCTAAATTAAAATATTTCCACAAAAAAATAAAAATCTTAGTTGCTTAAAATACAGATGGGAAATTTAGTACACATTGGTGCAAAGGACATCCTGCAGTTAGTATTCTCCTATTTCATAAGACTTTTAATTTTATGCTTCGTTCCTGATACACATGGTTACCCATGGTCATTTTATTTTGTGCATGTGACCTAGACACAAATCTGCATCACATCAAATTATACAATGTGCTCATTTGCGGGCCACTAAGTTTCAAACATAAATAATTCCATTTGTTTTGTGCAACTATCTGTTAGCAATCATCTGATAATTATACTGTTGGGTTTTTATTTAAGGTTGTTTCTGCCAAACTATTCTTTGTTTAAAGAAGGATAATTTTGTTTAATTTTATGCACGTTAATTTTAGTTGCTATCGAGTCTGAACAAAAAAATTAATTAAAGAATAATGCAGAGTTTAAAACGTACCGATTTTCACAGTGTCAACAATGCCATAGGTACACAATGGGCTAAAGGTATACTTGTCTGTCCCCCCCCCCCCACCCCTGTTGTATATACAGTGTTCCAGCAAACTGCTGGAATGTTCAGGTTTCCTAAATTTCATTGAGTTGGCAGCTGCAAGTCTAATTCTTTTAACAGAGGCTGTTTCCTTAGTACGATGGCCAAAATGAGCACACCAGAGGGCTACTTTAGAAGGCAGGCGGCTTCTTAAGAGTATTCATTTCTGAATGTGTATCAATATTTTTCTGCTTCTATAGTAAAATATTTGAATGTATTGTAACAAAGTTAACGCATGTAACAAAGGTACATTCACAGTCTGGGTGGATCTGTTTGGTTCTGGTACCGAGTGTGCCTAAGGAAACATTTAGCACTCCATGATGTTGTTCCCTAGTTAACATATAAACCAGGGCAGAGTAGGCATTATTGTGATTTATGCAATAATTGAATGCACATGGTATGCTGTTTAACCCCTTAAGGTCACATGACATGTGTGACATGTCATGATTCCCTTTTATTACAGAAGTTTGGTCCTTAAGGGGTTAAATGTACATGCATATAAAAGTAAGCATAGTCGGTGTACAGCATTATGAAAAGGCAGCCCAATATAAAAAAATGTCCAGGTTTGACAAGTACTTCTTTCTTACACACAGGTTAATTGTACAAACAGGAATAGATAACTAATAGCTAGGTAGCCTTTACCCCAATGCTCGCTTGTCTCTTTTAGTGATAGGATAGAAGTTGAAGACAAACTTGCTACATAAAGATGCTACTTTGCAATCACTCACCTTTCTGCAGAGCTGAATCTCCTCAGAGACACTGTATTGAATCCATGATAATAGGGGGGGAAAAACTTAAAGCACAGTGATTTTTCTCTCACTGAGCTGAAACCAAACTCAGAGACTCAGTCTTCCCTACCCTCCTGTCTCCTCCTCCTTTCTCAAATTTATTTTTCCTCCCCTCTTTTCCAAACTCTTAGCCTTCCCCTCTCATCTTACTATCTCTGCTCCTCTGACTTTTATTGACCTCTCTCTTTTTCCAGTCAGTTTCCCAGTCATCAGTTCGCCCCTTCTAATCTTACTCATTTTGAGTGCTTTCTGTCTCTCTGCAGAACATATAAATACATTTCTCCCAGTTTTCCATTTCACTGTTTATGACTGGAAAATGAAATACATTCAGAAGTAGATGTTCTCAACCAATGTAAGTACAATATAACGGGCCAAACTTGTCTGTCACTGACGGTTGGATTATAAATCCTAAATACTAATTTAAATAAAGATAAATAGTAATTACATTGGAAATATATATTTTAAAATATTCTCGAATTTTTAAATATATCAAGGATTTTAATGTCAATGCCCAACTTAAAGGGTTACTCAAATCAAAAATAGTTTTAATAAAACATTGTTTTTGGTCATAATAATCCTTACTATACTGGTCCCCCACCTCAAAGAAAAGAAAAAAAATTAAACAAAAGCTTACCTTTGTTTCAGAACTAAGGCTAGGTTTTCTGGGCAGCTTGATCCTCTTCCTGTGATGTTTCTCCCCCCACTTTGGGGAGTATGGGCAGCATCTCAGCATCAGTTCGGAGTTGTTATCCCAGATTTCATACTGCTGCGTCACTTTCACCTCAATTCCTGAGTAATTGCTCCAATTTTTATGCAGCTGCGTCAATTTCACTTAGTAAGCGGCGCCATTACGCCATAGAAAATGCAGACAAGTCTTATCATATGAAACAAGTGTGTTGTTTTGAGTGCAGTGATAGTATTACTAGGTCATGGGCACGTCATTTTGGCTTCAAACAAATGTACATGACGCAGGCCATGACCTTCATGCCTTTATATATATATTTTTCTATTTCTAGTGTCTTGTTTCTAATGTACATGTGTCAACGACTCACAATTGACGCAAAACCCTGGGCCTAAATACACTCACTCTGTTGTAGGCTCAAAACCCTTTGGTGGTTCCAGACCTCCTAAGCTCGCTGTTTTGTGTATTTTGGTTTCCCTTGGCTTTTTGATCTGGCTTTGTTATTTACCCTGCCTTGTCTTCTCGTATCCCTGACCAGGTCAGTCCTGATGCTGTTATTGCCTTGTTCTCCAGGTCTAGTTTGCTCTGGTAATTCTCTGGCCTTGCTATAGTATTTAATACTGCTGATTCCAGTTTCTATGCTAAGCATTAAGTCTGTTAATGTCTGGTAATACACCTTTTGAAACCCTTCAACCAGGCCCAGACTGGCCATTGGGCGAACCAGTTAAATGTCCGGTGGGCTGCGATGGCCATGAGCCGAGGTCGGCAGGAGAGATCAAGGGATCTCCCCTGCCAGCCCATGCAGGGCAGCAGTGGCCCTAATAGGGAGTTCCGGCCCCTCACGGGCTGGTGGAGGGGAGATTGGACAGTGAACGCCACGCTCCATGTATGCTGGAAAACCAGCCTGTCTTCTCGCGAGCGCCGATATTAGCATAGCGTTGCCATAGTAAGCCATGGCAACGCTCTGAAAAAAAACCCCACCAGAGACAGAGTAACCCTGCGGGGTACAGACTAAATAACCTGCCGGCTGGACTGGATTATCTTGTGGCGTACCCCCTCTCACTGGACCACCAGGGGTCTGCATGTTCCCTCTCCCCCTGCAAGGTAATAAGGGGAAGTAAATGTGATTTTTTTAATTGTTTTTTAAATTACATTCATTATTTAAGCCCCTATCCTCACACTATATATACACACCCTTACATATATATAAGGGCTGACTTAACCACCCACCTGCTTCGATACCTTTTGGTTGCAGGGAGGCGACTTCCTAGGACTACAGCCGCTGATGGGAGTCTGAAACTAGCTGACTGCTGTGTACCCCCCTCTGTGTCCTCTCAGCCCACGCGGTTTGTAAGCTGTGAGGAATTAAGATAGTGACTTCCTTCCAGCACTCTGTAAGCATTAAAGGGACCTGGTCATGCAGACAAAGGGCTGCAGCACCTGGCTGAGGGGGGTGGAAACTGCTTGGTTTCCTCCTGGCATCACCGATACTGCAGGGGCATGATCAGGTTCTTAAAGGACCTCTGTACCCCACCAGGCACTTGTTTATCAGTAATACGTATCGGCCCTTAACCCCTTAAGGACGGAGCCAAATGTACACGAGTGACAGGCAACAGAGGGTTGTAGTTAATGGAATATATTCGAAGCTTGGACTTGTCACCAGTGGGGTACCTCAGGGATCTGTACTTGGACCCATTCTCTTTAATATTTTTATTAGTGATATTGCAGAAGGTCTTGATGGTAAGGTATGTCTTTTTGCTGATGATACTAAGATATGTAACAGGGTTGATGTTCCAGGAGGGATAAGCCAAATGACAAATGATTTAGGTAAACTAGAAAAATGGTCAGAATTGTGGCAACTGACATTTAATGTGGATAAGTGTAAGATAATGCATCTTGGACGAAAAAACACAAGGGCAGAGTACAGAATATTTGATAGAGTCCTAACCTCAACATATGAGGAAAGGTATTTAGGGGTGATTATTTCTGATGACTTAAAGGTAGGCAGACAATGTAATAGAGCAGCAGGAAATGCTAGCAGAATGCTTGGTTGTATAGGGAGAGGTATTAGCAGTAGAAAGAGGGAAGTGCTCATGCCATTGTACAGAACACTGGTGAGACCTCAGTTGGAGTATTGTACACAGTACTGGAGACCGTATCTTCAGACTGATATTGATACCTTAGAGAGAGTTCAGAGAAGGGCTACTAAACTTGTTCATGGATTGCGGGATAACACTTACCAGGAAAGGTTAAAGGATCTTAACATGTATAGCTTGGAGGAAAGACGAGACAGGGGGGATATGATAGAAACATTTAAATATACAAAGGGAATCAACACAGTAAAAGAGGAGACTATATTTAAAAGAAGAAAAACTACCTCAACAAGAGGACATAGTCTTAAATTAGAGGGACAAAGGTTTAAAAATAATATCAGGAAGTATTACTTTACTGAGAGGGTAGTGGATGCATGGAATAGCCTTCCAGCTGAAGTGGCAGAGGTTAACACAGTAAAGGAGTTTAAGCATGCGTGGGATAGGCATAGGTTATCCTAACTATAAGATAAGACTAGGGAGTAATGAAAGTATTTAGAAAATTGGGCAGACTAGATGGGCCGAATGGTTCTTATCTGCCGTCACATTCTATGTTTCTATGTTTCTATGTTGTGAACAAAACAAAATGTAAACAAAACCTGGCATTTGCGCTACATGTCTGTCCAACCATAATTCACCTCTTTCATAGTAAATGCACCCACCCTTATTATATATAATTTTATTCAGGGGAAACAGGGCTTTCATTTAATATCAAATATTTAGCTATGAAACATAATTTAATATGAAAAACATGGGAGAAAATAAGATTATTTTAAATTTTTTTAGTTCTATATGACATTTTTACTGTCAATGTCATAATACTGTTTGCTTTTAGTGCAATAAAATACACATATTTGTATTCAGCAAAGTCTCACGTGTAAGACAGTAGCCCCTATGTACAGGTTTTATGGCGTTTTGGGAAGTTACAGGGTCAAATATAACACGTTACATTTAAAATTGAAATTCGCCAGATTGGTTACATTGCCTTTTAGACTGTATAGTAGCCCGGGAATGAAATTTACACCCATAATGGCATACCATTTGCAATAGTAGACATCCCAAGGTATTGCAAATGGGGCATGTCCAGTCTTTTTTAGTAGCCATTTGGTCACAAACACTGGCCAAAGTTAGCGTTAGAATTTGTGTGTGAAAAATGCAAAAAAACGCCAATTTTGGCCAGTGTTTGTGACCAAGTGGCTACTAAAAAAGACTGGACATACCCCGTTTACAATACCTTGGGTTGTCTTCTTTTGCAAATGGTATGCCATCATAGGGGTAATTTCCATTCTTGGGCTACCATAGGGTCTCAAAGGCAACCTAACCAATCTGACAAATTTTAATGTGAAAAAATGAAACACAAGCCTTATATTTGACGCTGTAACTTTTGAAAACACCATAAAACCTGTACATGAGGGGTACTGTTGTACTCGGGAGACTTCGCTGAACACAAATATTTGTGTTTCAAAACAGTAAAAAGTATCGCAGCAATAATATCATCCATGTAAGTGCTGTTTGTGCGTGAGAAATGCAAAAAACTTCACTTTTACTGGCGAAATCATCGTTGTAATACATTTTACTGTTTTGAAACACTAATATTTGTGTTCATCGAAGTCTCCCGAGTAGAACAGTACCCCCCATGTACAGGTTTTATGGTGTCTTGGAAAGTTATAGGGTTAAATATAGTGCTAGCAAATTAAATTCCCTTTTTACTTTCGGCATGGGTTGTCAGGCAGATCCCGCTAATTGTAATTAATTAAGATACCTAATTATGTAAAAATATTACATAAATATATATGTAGAATTAATATATGTATATATATACGTATGTAAATCTATTTGTGTATATATATATATATATATAATTTTTAAAAAAATATTTTTATTTATATATAGGTATATCTATAGTGATATATACGTATATAGATATATATATTATTTCGTTCTACATGTATTTTGATATAAATATATATATTAATATCACAATACAGTTAGAACGAAATAACACATCTATATATTTTTTAATTATTTATTTTTAATTATTTTTTAATTTTATATTTTAACGTATTTACAGTTTTTTTATATTATATATAAATATATATATTACAATAATTATATATATATATTTAATCAGTATCAGTCTACGAGTAATTTAATATATTATATATATATATATATATATATATATATATAATTATATATATTTTAATAGTAAAATACACCTAGACAGTGTGTGTGTGTGTGTGTGTGTGTGTGTGTGTGTGTATGTATATATATATAATATATATATATATTTAGATCATATATATAATATAATTTATTTTTTTACACTTTTAACATTATTTTATTTTATTTCCAGCCAGCAGGGGGACCACCTGTCATTACAGGCAGCCCCCCTGCTGGCAATACAGAAGCCAGCTATCCCGGCCATGTGATTGTGAGGTCCTCGCAAGGACCTCACTCTCACATGGCCGGGGGGGGCTTCAGGATGTCAGATGTGCCGCGGGGGGCTCCCTGGGAGTCCCCCCAACCGCGATCGCCGGCGTGGGATCGCTGGCAACCGGTTAAGTACAAAAAAAAGTAGGGCGTACTATTACGCCCGAAGGCGTTTTGAGCCGCTTAAAATAGGACGTAATAGTACGCCCTCCGGCATTAAGGGGTTAATGTGTGGACCACACGATGGGTCCCCAAGGTAATGCAGGCCCAGTACACAGGGCTGGACTGGCCCACCGGGATATCGGGGGAATTTCCCGGTGGGCCGGTGGACTTGGGGCCGGCAGTGCAGGACCTGAAAAATACATTTTTTCCTCCTCTGAGTTTTTGTGTGAGGGCTGGGGCAGACAATTACTGAAGTGGCTGCTAGAGGCAGGTACACAGAGAGAGGTAGCAGCCATCTGCAGCAGGGAGGAGAGAGTCTCCCACACATTGCCAGCTCCTCTGCATGGTCAGTCGTAGGATCCAGCCCACGCACTGCGCTCCGCCCCCAGCCTCAGCCTGGTGAACTTTTACACAGAAAGAGGAAGTACAGGAAGCACCACAAGAAGGATCCACACTGCCAGTGACAGGTAATTCTATGATTGATACTGAAAGAGATAGAGAGAGAGTGTGTGCTTCTGTGTGTATCAGCTCACTTGTAGTAAGTTTTTGTTTGTCAGTGAGTTTTTAGTGTGCTTGTGTGTGTATCAGTGAGCTTGCCTGTAATAAGCTTGTGTATGTCAGTAAGTTTGACTGTTGTGAACTTGTGTATGGGGCAGGGAGCTTGTGTGTGTTGGTGTGCTTGTGTGGGTCGGTCAGAGAGGTTGTGTGTGTGGTGAGCTTGTCTGTAGTTAGGTTGTGTTTGTCACTGAGTTTGTCTCTAATGCATAGGCGTGCGCACGGGGTGTGCCTGGGCACACCCTAATCCCCGTGGCACGCTTATGTATTGAGAACGGCAGGGGAGATCTCAGGATCTCCCCTGTCGGCTCATGCAGAGCCGGCGCTATCAAAGCGCCGGCTCTGCTCTAAGCCTCCCCTCACCGACCCACAGGCAGTGAGGGAGGCAGGAGAGGACCCGGGGAGCTCTTGCCAGCTGCTCCGCCGGGTTTGTCTCGCGAGGTAGGAGCGTTGCCATTGAACTAGTGTGATTTATTAATGTGGAACATCCTTTTAATATATATATTTTCTGAAATTATACAATTGACACACTGATGCCGATATACTGATAGAGGATTGTCACTGATGCCAATATACTGATGGAGGATTGTCCTGCTTAAAGAATTGTCCCCAAGCAGAGCCAGTCACAACAGACAAGGGGGCGTCCTGGAGGGTGGAGGCTATAGCACTGTAACACCCATGAATCATCTGGTGCGAGGGGCTGCAGGTAAGACAAAAGTTTTCCAAAGTACATACATATAAACAATACCAGCATACTATGTGACACAATGAATTAGAGGGCTGGAATAAATTTTTTCCAGGGCTGCTTTCTGTTCCCAGTCCGGCCCTGCCAGTACATACACACCAGCTGCAATGGATGTAGTTCTGCCAATGGTCATGGGTGAATATTTCTTAATATGTAAGCAGAAGTTCTATGATAGTCAAAGCCGGATTTACATGTCAGTTACCTGTAGGTACAGAATTGTAAGATGCCCCCTGCCCGTCTGTGAATATAGTGAGTGTGTGCACCTTTATAAATAAAGATATGTTTAGAATTTGTTGGGATAAAGAGGGGTGTAAAGTAGAGAGTGTTCAACATCAGAGTTAGAGTACATATGATGTTTGTTAAGTGTTAAAGGAACACTATAGCATATAGGTATGCCTAGTGCTATAGTGCTGTACCGCTCAGAGCTGCTCCCCTCTCTACCTGCTGCAACATCACTAGCTTTGCATCTTTTCCTAAGTTGTGGTTCAAAGCTGTTGGATACAGCAAACACAGACTCAATGGAATCCATGTTTAAAATGGAATGAGGCAAAAATATGTTAAACTAATTTACATATACCCACCCAGAATCCTTTGCGGTAGTAACATCACTGAAGATTTGTGATTTCTGTGGGGAAAGCAAGTCTTATGGCTTGACTGGTGTGCAGATTTTTGTATTAACTATCCATCTTATTACTAACAAAGATAAAACAACTGTTACTTATAGACATAGTAGGATAAGAAATATAGCTTAATATACCACACTAAACAGCACCAGAGACATAGTAGAGACATCTGACACGAGTAGTAGCATAAGAACATGCAGTTCCATTTAGAATGTGCTAATGCAGATGACTGAAAATAAAAAATAAAAAAGGTGCTCAATATCAAGTAAACATTAGAGAGCATGTTATACAAGTCGGCATACTGAGATATAATAAAGAATAGAAGGCAGACCTTTATAGGGAATCTACAGTCCAACACAACATGGATCTTCAGGCACAGAGTTGAAGGTGTCAGGTTTAAATCCTGGGTCTGCAGTTGCTTTTCTCCCATCTCTCCATCACTCCGCATCTCCTTCCTGCTTGGCCTAGAGATATGTTGCTGCGACATTTGATGGCATATTGCTGGTCTTGTAGTGCCTCAGGTGTGTTGAGCCTGAGGAGATGGAGGCTAAAGCGGACTAGTCCTGGTGCTTAAAAAGAGGTGAGTAATCTTTATTAAATTTACATTGCTTTACCAGGAAAAGTGAGTGGACAGAAGGGAACCTTTAGTTCCGAAATAAAGATTGTTATTTTTAAGACTATAGTTTCCTTTAAGCTCCAAAAAGTCACATTATGCTGAAAACAGGTACCCCCTACAAGACATGCAGCTGTTGGTCAATGTAAAATGACTGTCAAAATCTTTGCCAAACATTTATATGATCATTACCAAACTTAGTGCTGCATACATAGAAAATAAAGGGGTTACGACCAACACTGACCTCATACCACAAAATGATGCAAAGTTCAGGGACTGGCATCCATAGCAACCGCCAACCACCAGACCACAGAGATAATTGCTAAATGAAACTGCTGCTGGAGCCTCATTAAATAAGCAACTTTTGCCCATATAAAAGCCGCATATAGTCCATTGAAGGTGAATAGAAGCAAATAAAGGACATTCCATCTGCCATGGAAATTACATGATAAAGGGATAAAAACAGTTGTGTATTCTGGTTTTGTGTTGTCCTAGGCATGACAAAACTCAGGCACCCCACCACTTCTAAATTTCACTTCCTTTTATAAACCAACACGCTCTTTGCCCGACAGACATATGCCTTCACTAATGCATACACTGACATACACTCACTGACAGATACACAGTCATTGTCACACACACTGTTTAATCAACACACACTTTCACTGAAACATTCGCATTCACCGACAGACACAGGCATTCACTGACAGATATACATGCACACTCACTGACAGACAGACACACATACACATTCACCGATAGACACACATACACACTAACTGACAGATATACATACACACTCAATGACAGACGCACACTCACTCAGTGTCAGACACACACACTGTGACCCACATATACTCACTGACAGACACACACTGACAAACACATACACACTCACTGACAGACACACAAACACACTCGCCAACAGACATAAACACACTAACACACTCACTAACCAACACACACACTCACCAACCAACACACACTCACCAACATACACACACACTAAGACACTCACTAGCAGACATACTCACTGACACACACTCTTTGACAGACACACATGCACACTCTTTGACAGACACACTCTCACTAACAGACACACTAACACACTCACCAACAGACACACACTAACACATTCACTAACAGACACAGATACACTAACACACTCACCAACAGATTTCATTTTTTTTTTTTTAAAGTTGCATCCACTGAGCCTCCATACATTTGCTGGAGTGTATTTTCCATTTTGCTGTGGTCCAGTGGGGCTGGCTGCAGCTCGGCGGGCGATCTGGTAGGCGGGCACAGAGTGGAGGCGGGCGGCAAGGGAGCTCTGATCCTTCTGCTCAGCTCCCTTGCGCGCCTCTTGGTGATGCCGGAGTGATGTCATATTTCGTCACTGGCATTACTGCGGTGCGCGTGAGGGAGCTGAGCAGGGAAGAGCTCAGGGGAGAGTGCTCCCTCCCACATCAGTGCATGCCAGGTGGCCAGCCAGCCTCGGCCCCCCCGGACTAGAGGCTGGCAAGGTATTTGCCAGAGGATTTGGAGGGCGCCTTTTTTTGACGCAAATGCCTTGTCAGCCTCATGGTAAATACACCACTGTATATAAATATATTAAACAGTGAGATATTGATATTTTACAATTTCTTATACTAACATATCTTGCAGACATATGATGCTTATCCATGGCTCCTGTCAGGGACATAAAATAAGTGTCTTTCAATTAAACCTATGCCAGCCTAATCATTCAATTCATCTATAGGGGTCCAACATTGAGAGTTATGAAATTGGCACAGAGGCTGATGTCTCTGTGTCACTAGTGATGTCATAAAACTGATGGTCCTATTTGAAAAAGGGCCAGGGATACCCAAGGAAGGGGCATATTTATTTCTTTATTTATGAAATCTTTTACCAGGGCAGATACATCGAGATTTCAAGTTTGTACAGGGGCATATCAGACTGGAATGCATTCACTAATTTACCCTCACTGGCTGGCTGCACTCAGGGTAGACCATGCAAAAAGTGTTGGTGAAGTGCTCTCTGCATAGTCCTAGAGTAGTGCCCTGACATCTTTTGGCACAGTCTGATCTAATAATGTGCATTTCGGAAATAGTTCTTGGTGTCCCTGAATGCAGGATACCAGGGAACCAACAAATAATTCTTAACCTTGGAGTCTGAACCCAAAAGACTGCTGTTTCAATGGGTCCCCTCTGAATGGAACAGGCACATTATATTCATAAGGCCCAGGCAACTGCAAATAATAAATTGGTTACTGTGGTAGGATTGCTTTTCTAAGGGCAAAGGAGACCCATCTGATACCTTACCGGGTCTATTGATGGCACAGACACACCGATAGGCTCGGGGGAGAGAGAGACAAACACAAGAGGGGCTGGGGAGAAAGAGAAACACAGGAGGGGCTGAGGGGGAGAAAGCGAAATATAAGAGGGGTTGGAGGGAAAGAGAGACACGCCGAGGGGCAGAGAGAAGCACACCAAGGAGCTTGAGGAAGAGACACACAAAAGGGGCCGGCGGAGAAAGATACAAACAAAGAGGCAGGGGGAGAAAGACACACATAGGTGCTGTGGAAAGGTACACAAAGAGGCTGGGAGGAAGTAAGAGATACAAATGGGAGGAGTATGTGACACATAAGGGGAAAATAGGGGACAAAATAAACTAAAGGAGGTGTAAGACACAAAAGAAGGATAAGATACACTAAAAGGCGTAAAACATTCAAAAGAGGGGTTAAGAGACACAGAAGTGAGGTAGTGCATCTTCACCTGTGTAGCCAAAAATCCTTGCACTAGCCCTGCAAAGCAGCTGTAGAATGCTGAGTGAAACAATTTTAAAATTTAAGAAAAGGTTGCCATGTTCAAATGATGTATTGAAACTCCTGAGCAAACACTCTGTAAATAAAATACTCTTAGAATATAGTTATATGGACAGAGTATACCTGTATATTCTAAACTCTTAACATCCACAAAATCTATTTCTTCATTACTACATTTGTAAAAAAAAAATGATAAATGGTCTAAAAGGTACAATGAATCACTATCAAAATGTGCTCATAAATGTACACTTACTTCTAGGTGCCTGAGCAAGTAACAGAGCAATTATGAATTTAGAGAAGTCTTTGAACGTTGTTTTGAGAAATATAGTTACTTATCACATACAATAATATTCTGTCATGTCAATGTAAACAAGCTGACAAACATAGTTGCCATACTTGCATTAACTGTATTGCCCTATAATTCTAAATATTACAATGTATTATATTGGAAACAATTATCCTTACAAATATAAAAAAAACATTGCACTACCTTGAATGACACTGCCCTCCAATGAAAGAAAAATTGCCCTCCAATGAAGGTTGCTGCCCTCCAACAGCAAACATTGCCCTCTTAAGAAAGATATTGCATGAGGATGTCCAGCATCTTAAAGGACCACTATAGTGCCAGAAAAACAAACTCGATTTCCTGGCACTATTGTTCCCCGTGGGTGCCCCCACCCTCAGGGTCCCACTGCCGCCGGGCTGAATGGAGAGGAAGGGGGTTAAATACTCACCTTTCTCCAGCGCCAGGCTCCCTCGGCGCTGGGGACTCTTCTCCCTCTTTCGACGTCATCGGCTGAATGCGCATGCGCGGCAAGAGCCGCGCGCGCATTCAGCCAGTCCATAGGAAAGCATTCTCGATGAGACAGCCACTAGAGGCTGGATTAACCCATGTGTAAACATAGCAGTTTCTCTGAAACTGCTATGTTTATAGCAGGCAGGGTTAATCCTAGATGGACCTGGCACCCAGACCACTTCATTGAGCTGAAGTGGTCTGGGTGCCTATAGTGGTCCTTTAAAAAATAAAAAAAAACATAGGAAAGCATTGATTCAGTCACTTACCGCGGATGCGTGTTCAGTTTCAGAATCTTTGTGATGTCAGAGCAAGAGGAGCACGATCCAGAGCTATGGGACATTAGTGCTGGTATCCAGTAGTGAAAAAATGTAAGTTGGGGGGGGGGGGGAAGCACCACAAGGGGGGGGGGACATTACTGGTGCAGAGGGACTATGTAGTGTTAGGAATCCAATTTTGTTGTTTTTGTACTCTAAGTTTTAATTTCTTTTACTAAGTTTTATTCATGCTTGTTACAAGGCAGATGAGATGTTCTGACTAAGAGACCCAAACTTATTTTAAAATGTTCAGCAGCTAAATACCAGTGAAGTTTACAGAGAAACACTTGAGAGAAAACTCTGCAAATCATAACATATCCCCAGTTGTGAATGGCTGGCAAAAGTGTAGCTAAGAATCTAGAAAAATAAGTTATCTTGTCTGTGTGCTGTGTTTATTTTGGAAGTTGTCTGTAGACACAGAAAAGGGATTAACACACAGCAGGCAGTCACAAACATTGTGTATGCATGGCCACCGGAGGCGGGCAGCTGCTTTCTGTCACTGTATAACGTTGACACAAGTAGCTCTCCATTACTTGAGTTCAGCCAATCAGAACTTATGAGTTAGGAAGAAAACAAGTTGTTGTGTAAGTATGGAAGTCCTTCCACAGCAGTACAAACAGGCCAAGAAGATACTTAAATACGTCACCCAAACACAGAGTTGCGAATTATGCATATCCATATCCATTGTGCTCACAGATGCCTATGGGTGGAGGGATGGAGTCTGGAATCTTGAGAGACTGAGGGTATGCAGTATTTTTAATGGGAATATCCAGACATGCAAGAGTCAGATGATCCATGGAAGACAGTGATAAAAACAGACTGAAACTATTGCCCATCACAAATATCAGTATCTCAGCATTGCTTTTTGTTCCAGTGCTTCACAGCATGTACATACATACGAATGGTTTCAAACAAAAATGGAGCCATTCATCTGTTTGATCGAAAAACAAAATAGGATGCTTTTCATGCACATTACTCTAATAACGGTAAAACTTTATATACACTGGTTTATATTCCTAGCCATAAACATTATACTTTTTAAACAGCTTTTTACAAGTTTACATTAAATTGATCCCTACAAATATAAAAAAAACATTGCACTACCTCGAATGACACTGCCCTCCAATGAAAGAAATTGCCCTCCAATGAAGGTTGCTGCCCTCCAACAGCAAACATTGCCCTCTTAAGAAAGATATTGCATGAGGATGTCCAGCATCTTAAAGGACCCCTATATTTGTAGGGATCAATTTAATGTAAGTTTTTACCGCTTTGCACAAAAGGGGTAAAAACCGTTTAGGCGATCGGCCCCCTTTCCAGAGATGCAGGCACAGCTACTGCAGAACACCAAACACACGAACCGCCAATAAGTGAATGCTCCAAACTCCCGAACGGCATCCAATATAGCACTCCAAACACACGAACAGGAACCATACGAATTGCTGCTAGCAGACGAATAGGAAAAGCATCCAAGCGGCTTACACTCCTAGCAATCAGTCTCTATCAGCATTCAGTAAATCCCCCCAAAGACGAGACAAGGCTCCGTGTTGAGGGTCAAGCAGTGGTCTGTTTAATGAGGGCTACCTGCCCAGTATTTATGCAGTTCTCCCACCCGGTGGACACTCCCCTAGGGGACCAAATGGGAGACTGTGACAAGGGACAGACAAGCAGACAAATATGACACACAGTCACAATATATTCCCACAATGCATCCTGGCTTCCTCCCCTCTGCCCTGGGAGATAATTGAGGAGTAATTCAATTATCTCCCAAGACAAAGGCAAATCGCCATTACGCACGTGTGGATACTAAAACAAGCATTACTGTTAAAATACACCAGGTAAGACACATTACATTAAAACTATTCATTTAACATATCCCCAGATAGCTCAGGTCTGAGCGCACATTATTAAGCGAAAGGCGCTCAGACCACACGAATACAGTTTAATCGCCATGGAGCCAAAGTCTTTAATTCCACGAACAGGCTCCATGGCAGGCTATCTGGGTACTTGCACACAGAATACAATTGCAGCCCTAAAAGTCCCGAATGCTCCGTTGTTCGGTTCCCGAACGGGTTTGCAGACTTCCAGCCTCAGCGGGGCTTGTAAGACAAAAGTGTCCGCTTTTGGTGTCCTGCCACTGGGTAGAACAAGCGCTGGCTACCCGGGGAGCTTCCATAACACCGCCATCGTGTGGCGGCTAGGTGTAACCGCGACCACCCAGTAATTGTCAATTAAGCTGCGGTTAACCGCAGCTTCAGGGGGGTTAATTGCCGGCACACTCCAGCTCCCAGGTAGTCTATTCATTTGTGCGGTTGTTCGGTAGATTGAATCTACCGAACAACCGGCAGAAAAGCACGAATACAGCTTTTCTGCAGGCGAAACAAAGTCTTTTAACATGGGGGCCATAGTCCAAAGGCAGCAGGCGAGCAACCAGGCTTCTCCAATGCAATGTGGCGAGATTGGTCTCGTCACAAGTGCCAGAAAAACAAACTCGATTTCCTGGCACTATAGTGCCCATCACAAATATCAGTATCTCAGCATTGCTTTTTTTTCCAGTGCTTCACAGCATGTACATACATACGAATAGTTTCAAACAAAAATGGAGCCATTCATATGTTTGATCGAAAAACTAAATAGGATGCTTTTCATGCACATTACTCTAATAACGGTAAAACTTTATATACACTGGTTTATATTCCTAGCCATAAACATTATACTTTTTAAACAGCTTTTTACAAGTTTACATTAAATTGATGTTTAATGTACTTTGTTATTTTAATAGAGCTGTGGCACATGCTTATTCTCCCAGTGGTTACTTTGTACATAAATAGAAGTAAATAGGATGTTGTGGTGAATCCATTGTACGGCGCTGCGGAATTTGCTGGCGCTATATAAATAATAATAATAACTGCAAGATTTACAAAATGTAGATAATAACAATAAATATGGAAAAGTGCATTACATGAAAACTGATTACATAGTGAATAAATGCATTAGTCTCAGCAGCACAGTGTATCCATCTCCTCCCAAATCTGCACTTTAAGGAGCTATAATGCTGTATTAGTGACTGTGTTAAAGAGAGGAAGACTGACCTTCTGTGAGTCATATGGGCATTGCGTGAGACCGTCCTCTGATGAGCATAACAAGTGTGTTTGCTATAGTAAGAAAGAGACTATACATTGACTGTATATTAGGAATTTGTAATGTGTAGAGGACATTATTTGCTTATATGCACATTTTAAAGCTCTTAATCATTTTGTACTTTTCGAAATATGGCATGCAGGCCAGCTCTACGTCTCTATAGCCTCAGCATTTTCTGAGCCAGTTAATTTTCCTGAATTTTAATTATTTTTATGTAGCTCCATGGTTTAAAGCATAATGTAATGTAACCCTTACAGAATATAACAAAATGTAAAAAAAATGTAAGATGAGTGGGCAGCTGTTTGATTTCTTTTTTTGTTAAATGTGGTGGGGAGCTGTCCACCTTGTCTGCTCTGACTTGTCACCTTAGGGGGAACAGTGCTCATCTGAGACATAGATATCTACCTGTGCTATTAGTAAGGTATGATGATGCAATTAGGATGTTATTTTAGAGCAGTTATTTTCAGTAGTACATGCCTGAGTGGGCTCAATAGCTAGAAGAAACTTGTTCTAAAATAAAAATGTTTCTGCATGATGTAATAGTACCTAATTATGGGGGTGTTAAACCACCTATTTAATATGGAAATCATGATTCGGGCCACTTATCATTTTTTTTTAAAAAAAATATACTGCTAGAAGCACATGGAGCATGCTAGTCAATCCCCTGGTTTTCAGTATCTACTGCTGTAGGTGCCATACATACTGACAACATACCAAAAAAAGGTTTACAAATGAGAAAGGGACAGAGTCAACTTTTGTGTTACACATCTGCCAGGTAGATATATATCCTTCTGTATTTCCACCAAATCATGGTGCACAATCTCATTAGTGTAAATGGTGGAAAATGGTGGAAAATGAGAAAGAGGACTACTATGGACATATGTGTGTAGATCTGTGCTACTCAATATGCAAGAACCTTTTAAGTAGGGATAAGTGGCGGATCTAGGGGGGGCAACGGGGCAATTGCCCCCTCCCCCCCCCCCGAGAAAACTGACAGTCTCCCTCTCCCCTGCCAGCACACGCAGGCGCCAGATCAAAGATCTCCCTCACCGGTTCGCAGACACTGTGCTGACAGCCGGCGGGGGGAGGGAGTGAGAGAGGACCCGGGAGCTCAGCCTGCAGCTCCTCCGGGTCCTCCTCTCGTGAGCACGGAGCATTGCCGCGGTTATCACGGCAACGCTCCAAATCTCGCTAGAGTGAACTCTAGCCCTGGAGCACTCTAGCCCTGGAGTGCAGGCTAGAGTTCACTCTCCCCACTGGATCCACCAGGGAATCCCACTGCACCACCAGGGACATAAATATTTATTTTAATTAAATAAAAAAATATATATACATATTATTAAAAAAAGCCCCCCTACCCTTATCACACACACACACACACTCTACACACATACACTGCCCCTATACACACACATTGCCTCCCATACTGCCCCCATACACACACATTGCCCCCCATACTGCCCCCCCATACACACACACATTGCCCCCATACTGCCCCCCATACACACACTGCCCCCATACACATGCCCCATACACACAATATGCCCCCATACACACACATGCCCCATACACACATACACGCCCCCATACACACACGCCCCCATACACACACACAACCCCCATACACATACACTGCCCCTATACATACTGCTCCCCATACACACACACACTGCCCCCTGCACACACACACACACTGCCCCCCCACATACATGCCCCCCATACACACACATACTGCCCCCATACACACACACTGCCCCCCATACACACATACACTACCCCCATACACACACACTGCCCCATACACTGCCGCCCCATACACACACATTGCCCACACACACATACACTGCAATACTCACACACACACACTGTCCCACACATACACTGCATCCCTGACATACACTGCCACCTTAGCACACACTACAACCTTCACACACACACACACTGCTCGCACACTGTCCCCCTCACACACACACACTGCACCCCTTACACATTGCACCACTCACACACACCACTGCTCCTATGCCCTACTACAGCCCCATTTCCCAGCAGACCTCAGGTAAGTTGTCAAACTGTTCTTAAATGGTTTGACTACTTACTCTAGGAGGGGGTCCCGGCACTATTGACACCATAACCACTACACTGAGCTGTAGTGGTTATTGTGTCTAGATTATTTCTTTAAATAATCTGCAAGTGCCCCTCCCGAGATCAGGCTCTGGATCCGCCACTGGTAGGGATGTGCATGGGCAAAACATTCAGTTCGGTTCAGTACTTCCGAAATTTGCGACTTCGGCAATTCAGCACTTCTGTTCGGTTCAGCACTTCTGAAATTCTGGACTTCGGCAATGCGACACCTCGGCAATTCAGGACTTTGGCAATTCCCTAACCCTACCCCTAACCACCACAACCACTTACACATTTAGAGTTAGGGGTAGATTCCTGTCATCATTCACATAATTTTACCTTCCTCTCTTGTTTTGCCACTTTTCAGAAATCCAAAGCACTTCGTCACTTCCAAAATTCGGCACTCCGGCAATTTGGTTCAGTTCGGCACTTCTGAAATTCGGCTCTTCGGTTCAGCACCTCCGAAATTCGACACTTTAGAAATTCGGACATTCGGCAGCAATGAATTGCACATGTCTATTTTTAAGTAGTGATGATGATCAAAGAAGAAAGGAAAAAAAAACTGTGGTGAAGTGGAAGTAGCAGTGGGGGAAGAACAGAGTGTTTTGCCTGCAGAATACTTAATATTTTTTGGATAAGCTTTACAAATGATTTAATAATTTGAACAATAATATTTTAATATTGTGATTTTTAAATTATATATATAGATATATTTTATATATGATATATTTTTGAAATTTAATTATTTGAAAGAAATGTTTTCATAGGCTTATCCAAAAATATTAAATTAAGGCCTAAGTCTGAAAAAATGAGAGAAAACAGGGCATAGAAAAAATATGGTAAAAGAGCAAAAGAAATGTCTGGTTGCAGGAGACGCACTTCAGAGGCAGCGACGCACCCAAACTAGAGAATCGCCGCTTTCCAGCAGGATATTACGCAAACCACCCAGATGCCAGGAAGGCGGGGGTGGCAATATTGTTCCCACACACGGTACCTTTCCAATGCACAGCGACATTGGCAGATCCTAATGGGCGCTACCTTTTTCTCAAGGGCACCATAGCAGATCATACATATACTTTCGCATGTCTGTACAGTCCCAACAGAAGACAACATATCTTCATAAACTGAACCCTAACCAAGCTGGAGAGCTTCAGGGAGGGTCTGTTGGTGATGGCGGGGGACCTGAACCTGTCGCTCGATCCCCGCCTGGACACCTCCAGAGGCACAAGCGCGGTGCCCGCACACTGCATACGCACAACTCTGCGGGCCCTGAGCAGGTTGGGGCTGGTGGACTGCTGGAGGGCGAGTCACCCGGATGACCGAGACTACACCCATTACTCGGCGGTCCACTCGCACTACAGCCGCATTGACTACATATTCCTTGCGCAAGAATATCTGACTCTACTGCATAATAACGACATCGAGCTGATGGAACACTCCGATCATGCACCTGTGGTGGCTCGCACAAGATCCCCACTGTTTCAACTTAGCGAACGACAGTGGAAACTTAATGAGTCCCTTCTCGACGATCTCGAACTCAAGACCACGGTAGCTGATGCCCTAACCCAATACTTCACTGACAACGGAATACGGAGGTGCCTCCACTGATGCTCTGGGAAGCGCATAAATGCGTCATCTGGGGCCACCTCATCGCTGCAAGCACCAGGCGCAAAAAAAGACCGGACCATACGCTTGACCACCCTAACGAAATGAATAGCCGAACTAGAACATGAACATAAACAAGAAACCGCAAGAAAGTCAGCCAGATTATTTTATGAACACTCCAATAAGAGTGGCAGGTTGCTGGCAAGGATGCTACTGGACAAACGGAGGACACAACACATCCACAAGATCCATGCACGGGGAGGGGACGTCACGCTTTAACCGGAGGGCATCCTAGATGTGTTCCAGGAATACTACGCGGCACTATACACTCAGGCTCGAGAGGGCTGGCTGCCGATAGATCTCACGCAGGTATACCAATTGAATTTTGCCCCTCTCCTCGTGACACTACAGCAGGACTTAAAACGATGGATGTCCAAGTACATATCTTGGTTTGGCCGCATAAGCACTATAAAAATGAATATTATGCCACGTATCTATTTCAGACTCTGCCTACCACCATCCCCCAAGTCTTCTTCCAGACGCTATCGTCCAACATCAGACAGTTTGTTTGGAACCAAAGGCCCACACGGGTCCGAAGATCGATTCTGGAGCGACCAAAGAGTGAAGGAGGAATGGGACTCCCATATTCACTCATGTATTACCAGGCGACCCACCTACACCGATTGGTCGACTGGCACGCCAACCCAAACACTAAGCAATGGTTGGACATGGAGCTCCAACAAGCACAAGGGAAGATCCCAGCCCTGCTGTGGCTGGGTGAGGCTACGTTCAGAGAGATACGCACAGGCAACCCAATGATAGACGCCACCCTCAGGGTCTGGTGCGGGATAAGGTACGCCAAGCGGCTCACCACATCCCCCAACCCACTCACACCTATAACCAACAACCCAAAATTAGCTGGTGGACTAAACTCTGCTACTCTTAAAAACTTCCAGGCGTCAGATTGGGTCTACCTTCACCAATGGTGCAGCGGCCGGAACCTTAAACCCCTGATAGACCTAATACAAGACCGCAGACCAACCAGACTAGACGAATTCCACTACCACCAACTCAAAACTTACTACAACGCTATCATGGGAAAGGACCATGTGCACCGGCCCTTACTATATCTTTAACAACTATGCATGGCCAGGCAACATCTCTCACATGGTGTATTAACTATTTATTCCGCACTAATGAATAGTGGAGACAAGGGCGCTTTGGGCTTCACTGAGCGGTGGGAGAAAGAAATGGGGATCGAGCTCACGGATGCGGATTGGACCAAGATCTTCCAGCTGATGCACAAAGGGACTATAAGTTCAAAATACCAAGACTGCAACTATAAAATACTGACGCACTGGTATAGGATTCCGGACATCCTAAGACATGTTCATGACTCGATACCCGGAGAATGCTGGAGATGCGGAACTGAGATGGGTACAGGATACCATATCTGGTGGACGTCCTATACTGGGAGATGGTAAACCGCACAATTGAAGAAATCACCGGCACCGAACTCCCACTGCAACCCCTGACGATGTTGCTCAACCACACGCACACACCACTGAAGGCATACAAAAAAGGACTCACCATACACCTGCTCACGGCGGCAAAAACTTATCCCCACACACTGGAAAAGCACAACAGTACCCTCCCTGGGGCAATGGATCGCCAGGGTGGAAGACATCTACAATATGGAGATGTAGAAGGCCTCCCTGCAGGGACGAGCAGACAAATGTGCGCTGACCTGGTACCCGTGGATGGACTATGTGACCAAAAGAGCTGCGGCGGCGGGCCCGCGCGCGGGGGGGGTATGGGGTCGGCGGCTACTAGAGACTAACACAGACTCAAATCACACACACATGTGGACAATACCCTACAGCCACAATAACCCCTCTCCCCACCCTCCCAAACTGACCACGGACATATTACCGACACACCATAACCCAAGACAGCTGAACCCCCCCCCTGCAAGATCAGACCGGTAGGGGACTGACCCAAGGTATAGGGTCAAAAGGAAAATAGGCTTCCCCAACTAAGGGACAATATCCTACACACAAACTAGGAGCCCTCCCAGCCCCACATAACACCCAACACCCTTGACACAACAGACCCCAGCTTCCAGCACTTAGATAGGGGACCAGTGCCAGTACTACCTCTGGTACCCACACTGCAATGCGCAACGCAACAAAGGGTACCTGGGCAAGGGGGGGGTGGGAGATAAGGCCATGGGCCTACGGGCCGATGATGGGGTTCACTCAACGCACGAAATACACACCCACTCCTCAATGGTGCCCCTCAGGGTACCCAACATGCAATGGTTGAATGTTCATAATGAGGGCTCTGATACCGAGATGCTGGGTTATAAAGCCCGCACATCTCACAGTAATAATAAAAATTGAGGTTGTTAGACTACATTATATGTTTAGCACAACACCTTTAAAACAGTGTATGATATTGATGAATTGCTAACCACACACAGTAGCAAAGTCGCACAATTTAACTTGTACTGCCTTGACATCAATGACAAAAGTGGAGAATGTCGGGGGGGGGGGAGGGTAGGAGAAAGAAAGGGATATACATATTTATATATTTTTTTTTCTTTATATAGGCTGCACTGTCATCATAACGTGATGGGGTATATCTCAGAGGTTTCAAATTTCATTTCTTTATGGGTACTCACATTTGTTTGGAGAACCCTCCCGACACCCGGCCTAGCCCTTGTGGTTTTCCTAGGTACGACAAGCATAAACTACTTATTGTTTTACCTAGAATAAGTGTAGCTATGTATTTAAGTATATTAACCTGAACAACAAAAAACAAGCAGGGACCCAACATGTACAAATAATATGCCTGTATGTATACTCATTTCTCTACAATTGTATTATATCTCAGCATGTGATATCTCATTCTCTCTCAATAAAAATCTGATTGACAAAAAAAAAAAAAAAAGAAATGTCTGGAGATTAAAAAAATAAAATTAGAGCAAAGTTAAAAAAAATCTTGCTTCGCAACAACAGTTCACTATATTTCTGTATGTGATGGGGAAAATACTTTGATGGGAAAGGAAGATATAAGAGGTAAGCTTACTGCAAGAGTTTTGAGAAGACTTTTAGAAGATATACAAAAATAAAAAATATGCATGATATTTCTCCCATAAATGTAATACAGCGTCATAAAAATACAGTGGACACATTTAATTTTATCTATTTATTTTATTAACTTATCTGATATTTCTTTTGATTTACTGTATCTTTAAAGGAACACTATAGCGTTAGGAATACAAACATGTATTCCTAGCACGTTAGTGTTCCTTTACCTATAAATACCCCCACCTCCTTTGCCTTGAGAATTTAATAGTTAGGTTTACTTATCTTCATTTCACTCGGCTATTTTGGATGAAGCGCTTCTAGCGGCTGTGAGAGTGATAGCCACTAGAGGCACTCAAATCCTTCAATATAAACATTGCTGTTTCTGCAGAATGGCAATATTTTACATTGCTCCTAGACCATTTCATTTTTTTATTTTTTTTAGGTTTTAAATTAGCACATAAAACACTCCATCCCTCCTTCATTACTATAGTTTCCCTATGGACTGGCTAGAAGCACTACAAAATAAACACATTTTATCTCATAATGTTTTAAATGTTGTAAACCCTGTATATTTGCTCTTGACCAAAATGTTTTTTGGTTTTTTTAAAGATCTTCTTTAAAAATGGACCTCATGGTACATGTATAGGATTTTCATTGGAAACCCCTCATGCCATAGAATGACCGAATTGCCTCAACATCTACTATATTTTCCCCTCCCTGGTGACATACTGTTATAACTCGAACTAGTCCCTTTTGTTTCCATGGTCTGTGCTCCCATTTTATTTTCTATTTCACTCTCTATTCACGTGTTTATATCTTTGCCTATTAGTAATCTCCTTTTCTTTAACACTATACCTTTTCAGGAGAATATTATAAATAGTGTTGCACTCTTCAATGTAATGGAAAGTTTAGATGGAGAAGTAAAAAGAATAGGGTAAAATGAAGGAAAGGGGGTCACATGGGGGTAGAAGGAAATAAAAAGGGGAGGCTAAAAAGAAAGAGAATTAAGAAATAAAGTATTTAAAGCTCCCAGATGTCCTGGGTTTTGCAGGACCCAATCAAATTTCCATCCCAGGTTTCTTCCCCAATGTCTTGCTCCTGGGGACATCAAGGACATGTTTCCAATGAATGTAAGGTGAGTGCATCATTAGGCATGCAAGTGCTGCACAGAGTAAGGTTAGATCATTAAACCCATATTCAGAGTGCATAAACACAGTACTAAGGGTGGGCTGCCCTGTGTGGGGTCAGTCAAAGAGGCTGAACCACCCAATTTTCAGGTGGGTCAGCATCCTTTACCTCCACCTCCAAGTGATCTGCTCAGCCATCTGCCCTGGATGTCTGTTCTTGATGCACACTGATATACAGATACAGATATTGACACATACACAGAAAGTAAAACACAGATACGCACTGAAACACACACAAATACAGACATTGAAACATACACTTGAAGTGACACAGATACACAAATATACCCAAATTGACACATACACAAATACACACATGAACACATACACACACTGACCCACTGACACACATAAATGTCATACAATTTTATGTTTTTAGTCACCATCCTGCTAATATACCTTTTAAGTGCATGGGGGTGGCTGCCTGGAGTCCTGCTGCCACCATCATGCATACAAACAGGAGACATAATTTGTTAAATGTAAACCCTTTAAAAAAAAAATGCATGTACATCTGTTACCAGTCAAATGCTTTATTTAGATTATTGCTATTTTGCTTATATGTGCTATCTTTCTTTCTCTCTTTCATTAAATGTAGATATGCTTATAAAAAGTTATTTAGTCTAAAAATATATAAAAATGTTTTCACTGTCTATTGCATGTTCACACAATTTTACAATTTGCGTATACCTTAGTAACACAGAACTCACTAGTTTAGATAAATTAAATTTGTTCACAATAAGTGTGCTGCAGCCAGAAATTGTAGGGCTTCTGACTGGATTGGAGGAGGGAGGGGTAAAATGTGGCCAACTGCAATTAATTCACTGACAAACACTCACAGATACACACTCACTCACTCATACACACTGACAGACACACACCCATTCACGGACAGGCACACAACACACTGATGGATCCACACACTCACTGACAGACACACACACATTCACTAGCAGGCACACACACATTCATTGACAGACCCTAACACACACACACACACAAATTCACTGATAGACACACACTGATACAGACACACTCTTTTAATTATTTAAAAAAAATGTAATTTAAATCTTCCCATGCTCCCTACATTTGGGAGAGCTGAAGAGCTGGAGTGAATCCGGTCCCTGGGGTCCACTGTGGTTGCTGGGAGGGGTTGCTAGGAGGTTAGACATTTCCAAATGGAGGCGGGAAGGGAGCTGTGCTCTTCTGACACACTCACATACATTTCCTCATACACTCACATATTATTATTTTTTTTAATATAAGTCTACCCAGCCTCACTACCTTTGGGAGAGCTGGAATGGATCCTGTACTTTGAGTCCAGTGGGGCTGCTGGACATACGGGCGTTTCTGCAATGGAGGCGGCGAGGGAGCTGTGCTGGCTCCTGGCTCACAGCAGAGCACACGTGTGAGCAGAGCAAAAAGAGCACAGAGATCACCTAGGAGGGTCCCTAAGGTGGCCAGCGGCAGCCGGACAGCTCCTCAGGCCCCTAGGACGCAACAAGGCTAACAAGGCATGTGCGTCTAGGGATGGACTAAGTTTTTATGTTTTTACAGGTCTCAACCTCCCCTGCTTAAAAGGTTAAACATTAGGTTGCCTGAGGTATTGTGCCCATCAAGCGTTGATAAGGTCGGCTGATGGCGGGCATTGGAAGGATTTTTTATGACAAGGGGGGAGGTGAGAGGAAATGGTGATTAGGAGCCACTGGATGTTTTATTGGCAAGGACGGTTGGGTTTATGCATAGCACGTTTTGTTATTATATGTTTATATGTTCATTTATGATTATTTATTTCTAACAGAAAGAGTTTAATAAATGAAGTTATGGATGTGTTATGCAGTAATTTATTTATGTTATAATAAATGCTGTGGCCTGTTCATCCATACTAAGTTGTCTGTCGTTATTGTTTTTTTTTTATTGGGGTTATCTATGTTATGTGGTATCGTAATTCCCCACTACGTACATACATGTTTTTAAGATGCATTTTAATAAAATGAAAATAGTATGGAAATGTCTACAGAAAGCAATAAACAGTGCCTTCTTACTCTTCTCTTCTGTTGAATTTCTAAAAACATCTACAGAAGAGATGTGAGGATGAACCCTAATATGGTTCCCTGACTAGATCCCCGTGGTGCTTGGATTGAACTGTGCCACAGGGTACCACATCTGTAAGAGAAAAGAGGCACTACACCAGAGAAAATGGAAGAATTTCCCTTTTGTACAATAGTAAGGCTAGAGGATCAAAGTCATGCAAAAATATATTCTTTGACTTACACTCGGTCATACCGTCTTCTAAGAATAAAATGTAAAATATTTTAACATCTTAAGAGGAAATATTGTGCTTTTTAGTATTAGTATATAAAGATATCCTGATATGGAATGAAGGACACATTTCATAACTTAAGAAAATAAAAAGTTACCTGTGCTCTCTCCTTAATCCCTATGTATATTTAGACAAATGGAGGTCATTTAGTTGCTCCAATGGCCATTGGAGGGAATGTCTGCCTGCCAACGTCAAGGCAGACTCCCCTAAAGCGGGTCCTACACTGACCCTTCAGCCTGCTTCCTTGAGCTTCTGGCAAAGATATCTCTAATGAGACAGAGGGGTATTTTTTATATACACCCCTATATACTTATTAACCCTTAATAGGGAACACATGGGATGGGCGGCAGCATTGTAACAAGGCTGTGTGATACAAAGTGAATACAAATACAAAAAGATAAGTCCTGCGCTCACTCCCATCACTACTGGGACGGCAGCAATGACTACAGATCAACCCCAATATATAATAAACTATTAGAGATATATTTGCCAGAAGCTCAAGGAAGCAGGCTGAAGGGTCAGTGTTAGGACCCGCTTTAGGGGGGGTCTGCCTTGACGTTGGCAGACGGGCATTCCCTCCAATGGCCATTGGAGCAACTAAATGACCTCCATTTGTCTAAATATACATAGGGATTAAGCACAGGTAACTTTTTATTTTCTTTGGTTTTTACTATATATTGGGGCTGATGTGTACTGTAGTCATTGCTGCCGTCCCAGTAGTGATGGGAGTGAGCGCAGGACTTATCTTTTTGCATTTACATTTCATAACTTGCTGCATCTTTAAACAGCCAGATCGTTATAACTACATAATCTCACACTACATAACCTTTTATCTTAGCAGCGTGTATATACCTGGATTAAATGTATTTTTGAATTGCAACACATGAAAAATATTAGGCCAAAAATAAAAATAGTTTATTAAGTTATAATAGCATTATGTGATTCTACATCACTATTGGGTCGTTATGTATACTATACTGGTGCATTTGTAGGTCAAACTGAAATGCTACAATATAGCAGGGGGGGTGAGTGGGGGTTGAAAGGGGAGAGTATGCCTATATACTGTTGGGAAAAATACTCACAAAAACAATTCTGCGTCAATCCAGCCATCCCCAGAGTTCTAACAGTATTGGCGAAACCGCATCAATTCAAATCTTTGTTACTAGTGTGATCTAACACTGATATTGATCTATTCACGCCAATTCCAAGTAATCAGGGCCCTCACTCTAATTGTAAAACTCTGCTGCGCCGGTTTCTGGTTCCAAAATAACCTTAATTACGAGAGACGCAACCTGTTTGTCGCATGGGCATGAGTTAATGAAGCAGAAATGATATGCAAAGGGCCTGGGCCTATAAATATTCTTTATGTTTATGTCTCAGTGACCTTTTGTGGTTTTCTGACCTTTTGTGCTTTATTCTGTATATTTTCTTGGATTTTTGGTTTTGACTTGATTGTGATCCAGAACAGATTTTCTGGTATCCTTGACTGAGTTAGTCCTGCCGCTTATTTTTCTAATGTTTTTTTATTTTCCTCTTGATATGTACATCTGATTTATGTGGCCTAATTATTGTTAGCATAGACCTGCTATTTTTTCCTCACTGTTCTAAGCCTCTTCTATATCCCCTACTGTGTTGTTGTTAACGGTTGACTTTTTCTTGCTAAAGATCCAACCAATTTCTGATAATAAGAAATGGCCATATGGGTCCTGCAGATATAAGTCAACAGTTAGTCTCTTCTAGGGCCAGATTAGAGGATTGGGACCACAGAATGGATTGGTTCGCTCAAGCTCTACAAACATTGCTGGTTCATACTGCTCTTCCCAGAAAAGCGCATTCTGTAGTTTCTCAAGATGTTGTTATAGCCCCTCCTACTCCTCAGGAAAGTGGCACTAAGCTACCCACCTTTCACCTGTCTAATGCTGTATCTTTTGTGGAAGATCCTCGTGAATGCATAGGCTCTTTAAACCAGGTTGCCATCAATTTTAAATTTTCTCCTCATTCCTTCCCTACAGATAGAGTGAAGGTTGGTTATGTTCAGTGGCGTACACACAATCCATGGGGCCCCAGTGTGAAACTGATCCTTGGCCCCCCCTCCCTATTTCCCCCACTCCTCCGCCCGACAGACGCATACAGACAGATACATACAGACACATACATACATACATACATATAGGCAGACACACACACAGACACATACAGACAGACACACACACACATACAGGCACACAGACAGACACATACAGACAGACACACACACACATACAGACAGACAGACAGACACACAAAGACACATACATACAAACAAACAGACAGGCAGACATACACACAGGCAGACACATACAGATAGACAAACACACACACATACCACCAGGCACATATACAGACACATACATGCATACAGACAGACACACACACACATACATACAAAGGCACATGCATACATACAAACAGACAAGCACACACACACACACACATACACACATACAGGCAGACACACACACACACACACAGACAGACACACATACATACAGACAGAAAGACACATACAGACACATACATACAGACAGACAGACAGGCACACACACACACACACACAGACAGACAGACACACACACATACATACAGACAGACACAGACAGACAGACAGACACATACAGTCACATATACATACAAACACACACACACACACACAAAATGTTTGTCACCCTCCTGTTTCCTATCTTTTAGGTGCAGGAGAGTGACTTTCCTCGGGGTCCAGTGGTGGCTCAGGTTGATGGGAGTCAGAGTTCCCACTCTGACTCCCTGTTCTTCCTCCCACGCAGGCTCAGTGTATGCTGGGAGGAGTGACGTGCAGCTCCCTCCCAGCTTGTGATGTAATCACAGGGGGCCCGGTCACGCTGTTAGAGCGCCCAGCGCTGACCGGGCCCCCTGACAATCTATAAACATCGGGTGGCCCTAACAGCATGGGCCACCCAATGGACCACTTGGACGGCGGCCCCGGCGCTTTGCCGTGTGGGCCGGGGCTGCAAAAGATGGCGGTGGGTACCCGGTCGCAAGGGTCCGCAGGGCGGCCCGGACCCCCTGGCGTGACGGGCCCGATCGCAGCTGCGACCCCTGCGACCGCAGTATGTACGCCAGTGGTTATGTTATTAATCAGCTTACTGAGAAGGCCTTTGCATGGGCAAACCCATTGTGGGAAAATAATGCTCCAATTTTCTCTGACTACAAGGAGTTTAGTTAGTAAAAACAAAAGGGAATTAGGGGCACACTCGGAACATGCCTCCTGCAGGAATGGTGCTGCTGTAGTGACCAAAATGTATACATAATACAGATTAAGAAACAGCGCACTCATAAAAATAGATTTCTAAATTTTATAAGGCTACTTAAAATTGCATATTTCAGTAAACAACTATGGGGATTCGGTTCCACCGTATGGCCATAGTTTGTTAAGCCCACCACTACTTCACAGTACCCCAATATCGGTGGGTCCTACACTAATTCCAATGTGGGAGACAAATCAAATAATCCTAAATAAGCCTAAGTGTATTTAATAATCTGATTGTAAAAGCAATGTGAATATACATAATGCAAAATTTAGAAGACCTTCCCATTATCAAAAACTGAAAACAAAGCTATGGAAGATTATGCAACAGAGAGGTGCTGGCTAAGGGGTTTATACAGAAAGCTTCTTCTGAGTTGGGGGTTGGCTTTTTCTTTGTATAGAAAAAAGGGGAGGGATTATGTTCTTGCATCGTTATTGATGACTAAACAAGAATACTGTTAGAAACGACCTACCCTATTCCACTAATTACCAAGCTATTTAACCCCTTAAGGACCAAACTTCTGGAATAAAAGGGGATCATGACATGTCACACATGTCATGTGTCCTTAAGGGATTAAAGGGAAACTATAGTGCCAGGAAAACAAACTCGTTTTCCTGGAACTATAGCTTTCCCTTTTGTCAAGGCCCTCCCCATCCCCCGTGGTGCAGAAGGGGTCAATAACATCTTCTGTCACTTACCTGGGTCCAGCAGCAATGTCCCTCGGCGATTGCTCAGCTCCGCCCACGCTCCATTCCCACCGATGTCCACTAGCGATGGTGACCTAATGCGCATGCGCGGCAATGGCCAAGCTCGCGTTAGGATTTCCCCATAGGAATGCATTTTTTAATGCTTTCCTATGGGGAGTCCAGTGACGCTGGAAGGCCTCATGCATAGCATGATGACGTATCCACCCGGAAGTGGTAGACAGCCACTAGAGGAGGAGTTAACCCTAGCAGGTAATTATTGGGGTTTATAAAAACTGCAATAATTACATGCTCAGGGTTAAAGGAACTCTATAGTCACCTAAACAACTTTAGCTTAAAGAAGCAGTTTTAGTGTATAGATCATGCTTCTCGGGTTTCACTGCTCAATTCACTGCCATTTAGGAGTTTGTTTCTGTTTATGCAGCCCTTGTCACATCTCCCCTGGTTGTGATTGACACAACCTGCATGAAAAAACTGTTTTCACTTTTAATCAGATGTAAATTACCTTCACATTTTTTTCTCTTGCTCTGTAAATTGAACTTTAATCACATACAGGATGCTCTTGCAGGGTCTTGCAAGCTATTAACATAGCAGGGGATAAGAAAATCTAAATTAAACAGAATTTGCAATAAAGGAAGGATAAACTTTAGATGACTCTTTACAGGAAGTGTTTAGGAAGGCTGTGCAAGTCACATGCATTGAGGTGTGACTAGGGTTCATAAACAAAGTGATTCAACCCCTAAATAGCAGAGAATTGAGCAGTGAGACTGCAGGGACATGATTTGTACACCAAAACTGCCTCAGTAAGCTAAAGTTGTTTTGGTGACTGTAGTGTCCCTTTAAGGTTGATGGGAGTTTGCACCCAGACCACTTCAATGAGCTGAAGTGGTCTGGGTGCCTACATTGTCCCTGTAATGAAATTCCAAAATCTTCACTAAATTAGACCTTAGAGGTGCATAAAACTTGGTAAAGAACAAGGAGGGATGAATGACATACAGGAGCCAGCACACTCACTCACTAAACACCAATTTAAAACACTGGAGTTGTGGCAGGTTTATACAATGTATGATCATATACTGTAACTAAATTATATTTAAGCCTACCCCATTTATGAAGATCCTATCCTAGCAACTTAATGTCTGCCATTGAATTAACTCACTTACTTGGGAAATCATTCCCCCTAGGGCTCTCCACAGTGCAAGGTTAAATAGGACCCTGGAAGAGGCACTTGTGACAGGGAGGAGTGCAAAGCCACAGGAGTTGGCCTGCGTTCCCTATTATATTTACATATGAAACCGAGAGGGCTAAACTCACCTGGAACTAAATCCCCATTATTTTGCCAGGCGTTTTGCTTTTTTAAAGCTATTAAAGTCTGTGAGTTTTGAAGTTGGTATTTAGTGAGTAAGTGAATGTTCTGGATCTTGTATGTTGTATTGATTGGCCCAGGCCCGGACTGGCCATCGGGCACACCGGGCAAATGCCCGGTGGGCCGCGGTGTCCGTGGGGCCGAGGCCGGCAGGGGAGGTCCCAGGATCTCCCCGGCCGGTCTATGCAGGGCCGGCACTATCCGAGCGCCGGCCCCGCTGTCTTCCATGGAGGGCCGGTGGGGAGATCAAAGATCTCCCTCACCGGCCCATTTAAACAGACCTGCGGCTGGGGAGAGAGGGAGAGGACCCGGCGGAGCTCTATCTTGCGGCTCCGCTGGGTTTCTCTCGCGAGATCCGGAGCGTTGCCATGGCAACGCGCCGGATCTCGCGAGAGTGAACTCCACTGGACCACCAGGGATGATGTGAGTGTGCCGGTCCCCCTCCTCCCAGCTACCACCGTGCCGGACCCCTCCCAGGCTAAAGGTAAAGGGGGGGGGGGGAAGATATAATGCATTTTTGTTGTTGGTTTTCTTTACCCTCCCAACACACAATCACTTTTAACATTCACACACAGCACTCACACAGCACTCTCACACACAGCACTCTCACACACAGCACTCTCACACACAACACTCTCACACACAGCACACACAGCACTCTCACACACAGCACACACAGCACTCTCACACACAGCACTCTCACACACAGCATAGCACTCTCACACACATCACACACAGCACTCACACACACTGCACTCTCACACACAGCACAGCACTCTCACACACAGCACACACAGCACTCTCACTCACAGCACTCTCACACACACCACTCTTACACATCACACACAGCACTCTCACACACAGCACAGCACTCTCACACACAGCACTCTCACACACATCACACACAGCACACTCACACACAGCACAGCACTTTCACACACATCACACACACACACAAATCACACACACTGCACCCTTTAACACAGCACCCACATACAGCACCCTTAAACACAACATACACAGCATCTTCACACACAGCACCCCTCAAACACAACATCCATCACACACACATACTGCACCCTTCACATACACACTACACCCCTCACAGACACCCACTGCACCCCTCACACATACACGCAGAACCCCAACACACTGCACTAAACACACACACACACACAATACTTCCAAACATATATATATATATATATATATATATATACACACACACACACACCACAGCACCGTTCACACACACTGAACCGCTCACACACATACTGCACCGCTAAACATATTACATTCCAGACACACACTATATCCCTTACCCAACTATGGATCATATACACACACCAAATCCCTATATACACTCTGATTCCGTTATATACACACACTCACTAGATCTCATACACATTCTGGGTCCTTCAAACACACACTAGACTCCTGTATACACACACACACACTGCACCACCTACACACACTACATTCCTAACATACATACTTTGGATCCCTGATACACACACACTAGATTCCTTGTAAACAAACACATGCTACACCCCTAAACGCACACTCTCTACAACCCCTACAAACACTACATCACCTATATACACACACACACTATAGCCTGTGTGCATACATTTACTACATCCCCTATACACACATTCTCTTCAGCTCCTAGCCACATATGCATTACATTACACCACAAACACAACACGACTAAAACCAACCTTATTACACAATACCAAACCACGACCAGCTCACTCTGCACACACACAATCCCAAAGCAGGCTCCAAACACATGCACAATACTCTTTCCTTGCCCTTTTGTCTCCTGGTATCCATTTATAGAGACACCAGAGACAAGTTTCAAGGAAACACAGTGCAAGCATGTTATTAAATTTGCTTGCACTGTGCAGAACAAATACAGGTTTTTTTTTCTTCTCATGCTAGAGCTCTTTAGCAGAGCTCTGCCCTGGAAGAGCATTGACCCAACGCTCACTTTGAGAGGGGGCGTGTTTGTCTTTGGTGATGACGAAACACACCCTCTCTGCCCCACCCCCTTCTTAGTGGGCCGCTGTGCTAAAAAAATGCCCGGGCTGAATTTTTCTCCCAGTCCGGCCCTGGATTGGCCCCAGCAGCACCCTATAATGTATTCATGTTCAGATGAGTGCAGCCCTCTTGGTTTCACACAAATTAATGACAGACTCAGCATTATAAATATATGGCGAATCCTGGATTTGGACTCTTTAATGCTGTCTTCCAGAAATGTATTAATGACATACTAAGAGATTTTTTCCAATAATGTGTCATTGGCTATCTTGATGACATTATGATTAAGTCAGCTGATCTAGTCTCTCATCAACAGTAAGTACATCGTAAGTACATCACGCAAGTTACTGCAATATTGCCCTATAATGTGAGCTCAAGAAAAGCCTTTTTGAAAAGGATGTGCTTGTATCCTTGCACATCCAGGACCCAATAAACCTTTTATCTTGAAAGCCGACACTTCAGAGTTTGGAGTAGGGGCTATATTTTTCCAGAGACCTTCATCCGAAGCCTCTTCCATCCTTATTGATTCTTCTACAAAAAAAAATTTTCTCTGGAGATAGGAATTGTGACATAGGCAACAGGGAACTTTTAGTCATAGTATTTGCCTTAAATGAATTTGCCATCAGATTCCGTAGTTCTGTACAATGGGTGGACTAACAGACATGTAATTGTAACCAGACAAGTGGATGTACAGGAACAAAGAGGTGGAGGGCCCTGCTCGATGAGCTTACATTCTAGAGGATATTATAATTCTCACTGATCACAACTAAATTTACACTGGTAAAAGGGTATCTTTCTGTCAAGCCAGTTAGTCTTTAATTTTGTCACATTTTAGCAATATTACTACATATCATTCTGGAGGCAATGAAGCATGTAGGAGACACCCCCTTTCTACTGTGCCCCTTCACTGTATTGTTGTTTCCACTTTTTCTTTCTTTTCTCCCATTAAAGAGATTATAATTTCTGCTTAACCATCCAAACAAGATAATACTCCTTCAGGCATACTATTTGTTATCAGGACCTCTACCTCAAACTTCTTTCATTCTTCTAGAATAGCAGGACACACAAGGATTTGCAAAACTGTCTCCTTGGTATCTAGAGCATTTTGGTAGCTTGAGTTAACTAAGGATCTTAAATTGCATCAGTCTGTTCTTTTCTTTTTATATATTCTTTATAATTTTCATCAGTCATTATCAGTCTGTTCTTACATTCTGATCCGTCACCCGTGTGGCTTACTCACACCTCTACCGGTCCCTGAAACACCCTGGTCTTACCTATCAATTAACGTTATTGTTAACCTGCTTTACTACTGTTGTTGTGGGTTGTTGATAAATTTACTAAAATTGCAAATTTTATTCTTCTAACTTTAGTTACATAGGTTGCTAACTGAGTTAGTCTTATATAGTGAAAGCCAATTTATTTCTCAGTTTTTGAGGACATTTTGTGAAGAGTTTGGCATTCAGCTCTCGATTTCCTCTGTCTACCACCCTTAGATGAATGGTGCAACTGAAAGGTCTAATAAGTCTCTGGAGCAGTACCTATGTTGTTTTGTGTCTGACATTCAGGATAACTTGCCAGACCTATTGCCATGTGTTGAATTCACCAGGAATAATGCCAATCCTGACTTTTCTAGTCATAGTCCAGGCATGGATTTCACCCTACAGTTCTCCCTACAGGAGGTTTTGTATTGAAGGAGTTGGGTGCCCAGTACGATTTAGAAGAATGGTTCGTTTTTTTTAAAGGTTTAAAAGGTATTTCGTATTGCACCGACCATTTTGAAAATCATTATAAAATCTTATATCACTGGTACCTGGCTCCGTCTAGATTACATAACATGAACAATATGTATTCTGACCGGTGTTGGAGAGACTGTGGGGGAGTGGGCAATATGGCCCATATCTGGTGGTTCTGCCCCAAGTTAATTAATTATTGGAAAATGATTCATGATCTAATTATTAAAGTGAACGGAACCATTAGCATCTTAACTTCGGAACTAGCCTTATTTAAAAAACTCCCGGAGTCCGTTAATAGATCAGATAAAATAATCATAGGCCACATTCTGATCGCTGCTACATCCTGTTTACCTAGACATTGGAAGTCCCAAAATGTGCCATCTCTCAGAGAAGTTTTTAATTTGATTCTAGAAAACAAGGCACATGAATTATCACATGGAGCTAATATGCATGGTTTCCCAATACTAAAATATAATTGGGACAAATGGGAAGAAAAAATCAGAACAGTTTATGGTCTTTGATATATTTCTTGTTAAAGTGCATTGATGTACAACATTTTTTTGCCATATACTTTATTATGTTTATTTCAATGATGGATGGATACCCCTTCCCATTTCCAAGTTACCCTTCCTTTCCTACCCCTAATACAATGTTTGTGTTATTATCATACAGCATCTACATCCATCCCAGTCCGATCCCAAGGTTCTCTCAAATTATTGATTTTCATCAGACAGGTAAAGCTACTGTGAACTGTTCCTGATTTTTATTTATTTTTTAATTATGTTTAATAAACTGGTTTTTATTACATATCAAGTTTTACATTGTCTTCAGTGGTTTTAGCGATACACTGTCTGTATTGCTCTACAGCAACCAGTTCCACCTACTGATTTGCTTTACAATTAGTGATTTTTTCATATATCTTCATCCTTAGAAAAGTATAATATTTGGTGGCAGTATCATTTACCCTGTATTCTATCAGGGATAAGAATATCAGCACCGTACATATATTTGCTGCATATTGACCTCATTGTTCTTATTTCTTAAAGACACAGTATCTATTTTTAGCATTACTTTTATCATTTTTCTATTTTAATTTATTTTATATTATTCTATTTGAGCCATTATCACAAGCCAACGCCTGGATTTTATGCACCATATGCTAGGGTGCTATCTTTGCTATTTCTTGTAGAGGTTTTGGTGAATCCCAATTATTTCCAGTGTGAGAAGCTTTGTGTTAGTCAGACTCCCTCTCTTCTGGATATTCCATCTAGGAATACCAGTTTCCCCATTATTCATCTTTATGTTGCTTCTACTAAGTTGGCTCCCAGATATATTGTGCCTTACAAATAGTCCGTAGGGTAAATCCAGTTCTTTATACCTTGGACCTACTCCCTAGTGTTAGCATTCCCCAAACCTTCCATGTGTTCCTTTTGAAACTTCTACTCTGTAACAAATGTCACTTCTACTCCTCCAGTACAGGTTGATGAATACGAGGAATTTGAAATAGAACAGATTGTGTACTCTTGTCTTTCTAGAGGCAGGTTTCAGTATTTTGTCCATTGGAAGCGGTATGCGCTGAAGGATCGATCTTAGAAAGACACTAAAGATGTATATGCTCCCCTTCTAGTTATACAATCTCGTACACATATTGCCGATAATCATAGAGGGGACCACCTAGTGGGATAATAGTAGAGGAAAAATGTTAGTAAACATACTTACAAAAACATTTCTATCCAGCCATGTCCACAGGGTTCTAGCGACAGTATTGGCATACAAGTGTCAGTTTCGATGCTCTTGTGTCAATTGCTCCTCGACAACTTAAGATCAGCTCCAATATTGATGCAGCCACATCAAATCCAAGTAATCTGAGTCATCAGTCCAATTCTTACACAGCTGGTTCTCTTTCTATTACTCAGCCTAGTCAGTTTAGACACAGCCATATTATTACTAGGTCACATAATTTTATCGTTTCTGATATTATGGCATCCTGTTCGTTGCACTGCACACATGTGTCAATGACACAGAATTGATGCAAAAGGCGTGGGCCTATAAATACTCTCTCTGCTAATGGTTTAGTGCTATTTTGTGGTTCTCTGACCTTTTAGAGCATTATTCTGTATATTGTCTTGAATTTTTGCTTTGACCCAGTCTAAATTGGGACCCCAATCTGATTTTCTGGTATCCTTGACCCAACTAGTCCTGATGCAGATTTTTCTATTGTTTTCGGGTTTTGACCTGTCTTGTCTTGACTATGATTTGTTATTTTCTTCCTGATTTGTGCTTCTGGTTTATCTGGCCTGATTATTGTTAGCATAGATCTTCTACTTTTTGTTTCTATTCTAAGCATTTAGCACCGGTAATGTCTCATCTATCTCTCCTACTGTGCCTTTGTTGAGATTTGTCTTGTATCTTGCTGAGGCACCAACCCATTCCTGTCATATACAGACCTATGTTTTACATTCTGATTACATATATTGCCAGCTAAATTCTAAAAATGCAATTTTATCACATGACAGGAGGCTTCCTATTTTGCATAACTCTATTTACTAAACTCCACAGCAGTAAAGAAAGTGAAACATTTAACCAATCAAAAATGCAGTAGGGAGTATCATATTCCCAGTAAATAGGCTCCTCCCCCTCTTTCTTTACTGCTCCATCGCAGACAGGTTAGAGTTTTTGTCTCTTTCCTTTATTATGTATTTATTTAGTACTTATTACTATTCTCTATTTGCAATCCTTTATTATTGTGTATGTTAGTATTTTTTCCTATATTTGGTTGCCTTGTGTATACTTCAGTGTATATTTATCCTTCAGCTACAACTTATTAGTTGGTCTATTTTACAGTAATTATTATTATATTTATCAGTTCTTATTAGTTTCTGTCTAAGTAGTTTTGTCCGTTTTTCCTCTGACTAGGGGAAACCCTCTCATTTCCCGCCCTCGGGCAGACCCACTCCGTTCCAATTTCGGATATCACCGAAATCTCCCCTCACGCCCCAGTCCTCGCCGTCTCTCGAAAGCTCTCAGACTTGTTCCTTTACCGCCTCTCGACAGCTCTCGGACTTGTTCCTTTATCGCCTGCTCCCTTTACGTCCGCTCATCAACGGCCGGCGGCCATCTTCATTCTCGCATATCGCGAGATTACAGCCACCATCTTAAACGTCTGCGAGTGCAATCCCCACACAACGGAACTCAGCTCTGCCAGCCTGACCTAACGGAACTTCAATTCATAAACGAGCTAAACGTTCAGAGGTCAGTTAGATGGATAATATCCTAAAGCTGTATATATAAGCACTAAGGATATCATTAACCCGTGCCTTACTGGGGTGTTGCACCTATACTGTGCTGCTGCTGGAGGTCGCCCTGTGGCCTCTTCTGTTTTTTCCCTGGTTGAGGCCCAGTATCATATATATATTAAAACCCAATACTGTGGTTCCCTACCCTGCTGGGGCAAGCTGGAACTGCCAGTGCAAAACATATACTGTATATACCCTGCTTGGTTTTTTCATTATATAAACCCTGCTGGGGTTTCCATACCATCACTATATCACAGAGATACCCTGCAGGGGTACTGCGTGCATACCCTGCTTGGGTTTATTTTCTATGTGTTTTTTACAATTCACACGTTAATACAACACCCTGCTGGGGTGTCAAGGGTGCTGCCCATCTAGTCACTACAGTGACTAGAATTACAGCTTCACTGACCTCTGCCACATACGCCCTGTGCCACACCTACATATTACCAAATTGACAAGATGGAAGCCTCTTAAATGACAGATCTCCAAGCCATGATAAATGAGGCCGTAACCGCCTCCATGGAGAAAGCTCCCTCCAAAATGATGGCCTCTAACTCTGACAAGAGGAAACCATCAAAATCCCACCAATCCCGCCATGACTCCCCAGAATCTCACAAGAGCCAAGAACCCCACACTGGCAAACGCCACTGGAAAGGGGAAAAGGGGCACCAGAACCCGACCAAGGGTAAGACACCTGCCAAACCTCACAATCCCTCTATGGTCACCACCCCAACCTTACAACACGAGGACTCCTCTGATGAGGACGACACTTGCACAAAGTCCATGGCCGTTTTGGATGAATGGCAAGCAGATGAGTCAGACTCACAAGATGACGCATGGGGCTCAGACTCCGGGTCTCAACCCGGCCTCTTACAAAACACCTTACTGGGAGACTCCCTACATCCTGATACCGTGGACACCCCGCAAGAGGACTAAGACACCATCTTTGATCCGTCGGCCACAGACTCTTTGACCCGAGAAACATACGACATCCACGCTCAAGGGACTGGACACCCCCGGATCATCTTGTAAAATGTATGCACCTCTGGCTACGTAAATCCTTAGACAAGACCGTCCGCAATCGGCTGCGGTCAGAATGCCCACGACCCTCGCTTACCGATCATGTCGCAGAGACGCCCGAGTTCGATCAGGTGATGACCACCTTTATGTCTCAAGGTGGCCCTGACCCCCGCAAAGGGGTGGAAAAGGGTTTCAGAGGGGTACAGGAAAAATTACTGGACTCAGTGGGACCATTAGCCAGAGTCATGTATTTAACTGACGATGCCCTTGCGAGAGCAGACCAATTTGACGCAACCATGGTGCACGAATGGGCTCATGATGTGCGGGAGTGGGCACAAAGATGCTTCTGCTTTGTGGGTAATGCAAATGTCACCCTCTCCTCCGAGCGACGCAAAGCGGCACTACGCCGTATTGACAGAAAATTGGTGGAATTGGGCACCAAAGAATTAGGTCTGTTGGCACAGGGCAAGCTATTCTGAGACCCTTTCCTTAAAGATTTAAACAGGCACGTTAACGTGTTTACATCTCTGAATAAAGCTCAATCCTCAATGAGGAGAGTCTTCAGACAAAACCCCACCAGAGGTGTTTTTGGATGGGCTGGCTGACAAAGGGGCTGTGCAACCAGCCATTTCTGGCCTTCGGGCCCTCGCACTTCAAGGCCCTAACCTTTCTACCCGGAAGTGGGATATCGTCAACCATTCTCCTACACCCGAGGTGCAGACAGAGGTCGTGGACCACGTACCTGAGGCAGAGCACGCTTCTCTTCTCTACCGGTAAGCAACCATCTAACACATTTTTCTCTCACACTTCGTACAGCAGGTCGCATCTCTCTGTTTTTTTCAGGAATGGACGACCATCTCCACGTACGCATGGGTCCTACAAACGGTACAGGGCTACATCATCGACTTTGTAGACCGTCCACTTTAAAAGGACCTACCACATCCCATCAACTGCTCAATAGAAGATCGAACCCTCATAAACAACGAGTTGCAAGAACTATACTCGACAGGTGCAATCGAACCCGCCTCCGGTCCTGGAGCTTTCCTCAGCAACATATTCTTGGTGAAGAAGTTAATGGGAGAATTTCGCCCCGTCATAAACTTGAGACGACTCAACGAATACGTCACATACAGGCACTTCAAGATGGAAGGCATACATCTTCTGAGGGACCTATTACAAGACAAAGATTGGTTCACAAGGCTAGACCTAAAGGATGCTTACCTTTCAGTACTCGTCCACCACTCCTGCCGGCAATTCCTACGTTTCCTCTGGCAAGACCTTCCCTGGCAGTTCACGTGCCTCCCCTTTGGCCTCAGCTCGGCCCCATGGTGCTTCACCAAATTACTGAAGCCTGTGGTTGCTCATCTTCGAACACAAGGAATTCGCTGCATTATATACCTGGATGACCTCCTGCTGTTCTGCTCCGACAAGTCCAGACTGGTACGGCACACACATTATACCACGGATCTCCTATCATCCCTGGGTTTCGTGGTGAACTTCCAAAAGTCGGCCATCCACCCATCTCAAACAGTGCAATTTTTAGGATTTGAGATAGATTCCACCACCAGCATGCTACGACTAACGACGTCAAAAAAAGATCAAGGCCATCCGCAAGGAACTACGCAGGACCATTCGGTGCCACACCATTCCACTCTGCGCCCTCGCCCGACTGGTGGGACTCCTCTCGGCTTCCATACAAGCTATCGAGATGAACTCAGATGGTGGCTAGACAGCATGGAAGCATGGAACGGTCGGGCCATTTTCGGGAACACACCCAACATAGTCCTGAAATCGGACACCAGCCTCTGGGGATGGGGCGCCTGGAACTCCCAGGACCTCAACATGCACATAAATTGCCTAGAGCTTCAGGCAGGATCCTTTGCCAAACGCAGCCTGGCAAAAGACAAGACGGACTGCTGCATCCTCCTCAGGATGGAAAACATCTCCGCAGTCCGCTACATCAACCACCTGGGCAGAGCCCGATCCCGTCTCCTGTCAGAGAGATTTTCGACTTCTGTCTACCTTGCAACATCTCCCTCAAAGCAGAATACCTCCCAGGGGAGACGAACCTCACGGAAGACTGGTTCTCACGCCACTGGCGAGACACCAGCGATTGGAGACTGGATCCACAGATCTTCAACCGCATAGCGGAACACCGGGGTCCGTTTCACCTGGATCTGTTTGCATCACACAATAACAGGCAAACACGAGTGTAGTTCAGCTGGCTCCCAGATCCGGAAAGTAAAGCGGTAGACGCATTCCTACAACCGTCGCCGAACACGGGAGCATACGCTTTCCCTCCCTTTGCCATGATAGCAAGGACCATCCACTACATGAAAAGTCAACAAGTCTCTCTATTGCTCATCACTCCCTTATGGAGGGGACAACCATGGTCCCCAGATCTCCTGGCACTATCATACAGGGATCCCCTCCTACTGCCTCATCATCCGTACCTCCTCACGGATCCAAAAGGTAATCCTTAACCACTGATCCTGGACAATCGACTCACTTTGGTGGCTTGGACACTTTCCGGGGTGCCTGGCAAGTCGGTGGACTATCGCAGGCTGCTAGGGACCTGCTATGGGACTCATGGGCTCCAAGAACCAGAATATGGTACCTATCTGCTTGGAATTCCTCATCCACTTGGTGCATGGATCTCGATCCATTTACAGCCACTATTCCAGCCGTTTTAAACTTTCTATCTCACCTGTTCTCGACAGGGCGATGATACAGATTACTTAATGTAGTCCGTTCCGCTATCTCGGCGGCCCACGTCCCCATACTAGGGATCCCGGTGGAAAGAGACCCACTGGTGTGTCGACTCCTAAGGGGCATCCGACTGCAAATATTCATGGCACTGGGACGTAGATGTGGTTCTCCGTTTCCTGAGAGACTGGCCGACTAACGACAGACTTTCCCTCCGGCAACTCTCAGCAAAACTCACGGTTCTGCTTTGTCTCGTTTCTTTCCGCAGAGTTTCGGATATTCGGGCATTTGACATAGATGCGTTTTCAGTCTCCCCGGACTCTCCATCGGTTTTCTTCCCCTTCTTCACCTCGGATCCACACCTCTGCGTCGTCTCTACTCTACGACAGTACGTGGAAGTACGTGGAGGTTACGCTACCGATTCGGACCTCGTCCTCAGGCCAACTCCTGGTATTATACGTTAGACCACACGTTCCCTTTTCGGCAACCACTCTCAACATATGGGTTTGTTGGATACTGTCTCTAGCAGGCGTAGACGCTTCTTTCGGGGCCCACTCGTTACGCGGTGGCTTCCTCAGCCTTCTCGGCGGGTGCCTCGCTATCGGATATCCACGTTCCGCACATTCTACTTCTGCCCGAACTCCGGTGCGGCCACATCACTCATACAACAGTGTTAAAAATGCAAAATAGGAAGCCATGTGATAAAATTGAAGATTATGCTAGCGCTAGTCTATTTATAATCTTAATTTTAATAATGACAGGAGGCGAGTATTTTCCCACTCGGGGAAGAGGGGAATCTCTGAATTACAGTATGTCTACAATTTCTTTCACCTGCCTCCATGCGAGCCTGTATATGTTTAGATTGTCACCACACTTAGTTATGGTCAGTTAGAATTTGTCATGGTATAGCCAACCCGTAATAAAAATATTGTAATATTAATCAATGGGTCGCTATCATTGCTGCAACCAGTTTTGAGACCGGTGCCTAACCCATTTCCCATTCTCTTTCAGTTTAATTTCACGAGAGCATGGAACAACTGCAGGAAACTATCCAGATTACTGCTCAGTCCATGAAGACCATCATCCCTGTTGGACTTTTCAACCGTTGATACTTGTTACCTCAAAGACCATCGTTCTATTGGATTTTCACCAGTTGGTGCTTGTTTACAGACTCTATATACTGAACTTCTTCCCTGTTCACAATGTCGCTTCCGAAAGAGGGGTAGGAGTCTATTTACTGTGAATATCATACTCCCTACTGCATTTTTGATTGGTTAAATGTTTCACTTTCTTTACTGCTGTGGAGTTTAGTAAAGAGAGTTATGCAAAATACTCGCCTCCTGTCATTATTAAAATTAAGATTATAAATCCACTAGCGCTAGCAAAATCTTCAATTTGTTTCCTACCAATACCCATAAGTATTGCAATTTGATGCGGTTTTTTATCAGTTTATCTATTATCACTGAGCAGTAATCTATGCACAGAATAGCTGTTTCAATCTATATTAATGTGCTATATATACACCCTACGTTTCAGATAAACTGTATTCTATTTTTTAAACTAAAATGTTGGCATTTAAGGGGTCCAAGGAAAACAAAAAACATGCTGCGCTGCAATAATTTATATGTAAAAAGTATCATTTACTTAGAGGAATCTAATCATAAACACTCTCCTCCCATGAATATAAATCACCATTTATCTTTTTTTACAGTATTAACCCATGAGTTGATTCTGCTGCAATATACTCTTCTCATTTAAAAACAATGCAGCAAACTCTGCTAAGTTGGATCATTCTCTCGGTATCAGTTAATTTTATTATTTACTAATAAATCATGCTTCAGCAGGCCCCTCTTAAAAGAGAACAAATAAAAATACATGAACTAGTTCTCATAAAATTACCATATTATGATGAGAGAAAGAAGGAATTACTTACAGCATAGCATCCAAAACAAGAAAGCAACCTTAAAATCAGACAGTAATTTTTTATTTATTTATTTTCATGTTCACGCCTTTCCTCTCGACATGTTTTTCTCTTCTATCTAATACTCAGACACAAATCTCCATCCTCAATTCTGGGCTCCTGACTGTTTACATCTCTGTGTAGGATATTGGCAGGAGCTGCAGGCTCTTTTTTTTGGAAAGCTCAGATCTTCCCTCCCTGTGTCTGCTCCGGGGCCCCCTCTGTGTCTGGATCCAGATGTGTTTTAGCATTAGATTATTCTCCACGCACTTAGAGGGCTGACGTCAGGGGGTCTGTGGAGGAAAACCGCTTCTATTAATTCTTCCCAGCGTGGCACACAGTTGCTGTCCTCTCTTTTAGCGTTAACAATAAGGAAATAGGCACGGCATAAAGACTCTATCCTTCCTCAGGTATCTTGCAAGCAGATTGATAAGAGAGGGGATTTAAGCAGCTGCATGCAAATCAAAATATCTAATTTTTATGCATGCTTCAGTGCTTCATTCTACACCTGCTACATGGATGCACATCATTTTGTTGGACAGAGTACATACACAAAGGTGTTCACTTATTAGATTGGGAATCATGGAGAACTCAAAAAGGGAATTGCATGTCTTAAGCCCAAATAGTTGAGCTATATCAATAGTTATTGGGGCTTACAATTTGCAATTTAGTTGTCAATTTTCAGTTTGGTGAATAAATCCGAAAGTTTAGTCAAAGGGACATTCCGTTTATCATAACAACGTCATGCTAATTAAGTTGTTATGGTGCCAGGAGGCACCCGGCACACTCTTACCTTGAAGGGTGAAACCTTTCTCAAACAGCTTAATGCCAACGTGTTCCTCCAGTGCCAATCTGCAAGTGCCCCAAGTGACATCTGGCTTGTGCATCTCAGCTACAGGAAGCGCGGAGTTCTGCCAGGAAGGAACACCACTAACTGGCTTAGAGTGGTCAGCTGACGCTCTCAGACAATCAGTGACTGCCCATACATAAGACTGGCTTGAAGAAGGTAAGTTTCTTTTCAAGCCAGTTTTATGGCTCTGGGGCCTTCTGGCACCATAACAGCTTCATTTAAATAAAATTGTTATGATTGGAATGTCATTTTATTCTAGAAAGGTATGCTGCTGTGAGCAAGCATGTGGACTCATGGTAAGTCATTTTTACATATGATGTGAATTGAGGTCTTCTATAAACATTACACTCATTAACCATGGATCTAGATTGAGGGGATCTAACACTTAATCCAGGAGTACATATACACTTAAAAATATAAAAAAAAACATTGTTCCTGTTAGAAGTGTATTATTAAAATATCAAAATATGATACAAGTATGTGTTGCAATAATGCAGTGTTAAAAAACAATTAAAACACTAAGCGTAACTGTGCCATTTAAAATGGCAGTCTTAAGAAATATGCTGAAATGACTCTAAATACATTTTAGTACTTATTTATACTTATTAATAATGTGCTGTTTGGACTCATAACATTCTAAATATTCTAATTGAAACATTTTTAAAAGTTACCTATTTACATTGCAATCTAGGTAAAAAAAAAAATCCAAGTTCAAACTTTCACAAATCTTTCTGCGCTGTTCATTGAAAACATGATCCCAAAACCAAATTTGAAGGAACTTTTAATGATGCCCCAAAAAGAGAAACAAAAACCTCCCTTTTCACCCAGTAATGACAGTCACATTTCTCCTCGGATTAACAAACTGTTCCCAAACATGTTAATTTTATCCTTGAATATTCACTTCTTACAAAAAAGCATGCGGATCTTTTTAAAATTTTTATCAGAATCCTCTTTAGGCAGCCAATTCTACAAAAGCAAATAGAAAAGAAAGCATGAATGGATCTGCAATCATTTTGCACTCTGATTAATGCGGCTTTGTTACAACAGTGCGCTGACATTTTGATAACATAGATTGTAAGCTCTTTTGAGCAAGGCCTTCTTCCCTACATATCTGTTATATTCTCAATTGTTAAATATTCCCATTCTATATTTGTAAAGTGCTGAAGAATATGTTGGTGCTATATAAACGCTAATAATAACTTTTACTCGGAACACTTGTAAAACATACATACTGCACTGGTTTCTTCCTAATAAATGAGAGATCTGGTTACTGCACTTATATAGCAAACATTGCATGCCAATAGGCTGGTAACTTCCCCGACTATTATTACAATCTTATCAATTACAGGGTTATTCACTAAAGTGAACATATTTTAGGTCAAATAAGTCGGCTATGCTTTCACTCTGACCTTACATTCGAAAAGCACTTTGAATTCACATTAAACTCCCACTTCAGTAAATAAACCTGTTAAAGAATAGCAGATCATTTAGAAGAAATATGGTAGATATAAAGTTGTGGCGGGAGACAGAGTTTTAGATGAGAGACGATGTTCCCCCTCCTCTCTCCACGTGGACTCCTTCCCATTTCGCTGAGTCTCTTCCTGGAATCGGAGATAATTAGCACCAGATTTCCCCCTCCACATCATCCTGCTGACGGCACTTCTGACTCACCAGGCTCCCCCTGCTATGGAGTAGGGGACCCTCTGGGCAGAGCTTGACAGAAACTGATGCAGTGTAATGTTCTCTCTATCCCTGTGAAACAGTTACGGAGTAAAACAGTTACTTTGCCTGAGTTTCCAGAAATTTCCTGAAACTGTATAGTAATGTAGATGGCTGTACTGAAATCTTGTGTAAAATAAATTTGTCCTAATGATGAGCTGATGCTGCTTATTACTTTTCCATTTATAGAGCATTTTAATAATTCCTTAACACTTAACACAAAAAGTGTGCATTGCTGTATACCTGACTCCAGTGTGGGACAGGGGAGGGCTGGCAGCCTTAGGCCTGGGGCCAAATCCAGTCAAGTGGCCCATTGCACCAGTTCACCACCCATGCTCACCTTTTCCTGGTTTTATAATGCAACCAGTCACACCAAGTCTCTCCCTTGCTTCATTGGTGCTGCCTAATGCCTATCTTCTGCCTCCAACCTCTAAGAAGATTGTCTGTGCGAGGACTGGGAGACTGGGAGTTGTAGTATCCTGCTGAGCTAAAGCTGGGCTCTCCCTGCCCCCCGGGAGTGTGAGTGAGCCCCTAGCAGGGACTACAACTCCCAGAATGCATCAGCTCTCACTACCTGTCAGCCAGTGAGTGGCCGTTGCATTCCCCCTCACTCTGACTCCACAGCCAAGCGACAGCCAAGAGATCCTGTCTCTGCCTCTGTGGCAAGCAAGCAGGCCATTTTTAACATGATTTAGGCAGGGCTGGTGCAAGGATGTTTGGGTACATAGGCGAAGATGCATTTTTCCAACAAAAATAACATCTTCAAATGTGTTCTTCTTAACCTCCCTTTTGTGTTTCTTATCCCCTCTTTTAAATGTCTTACCCCCTTTAGTGTATCATATCTCTTTTTTCCCCATTGTGTGTCTTACAACTCCCTTGTGTATCTCTTACAACCCCCCTTGTGTGTTTCTTATCCCCCCTCTTTGTATCACTCTTACATCCTCCTACATTTTGTGTGCCTTACTCCTCCCAGCCCTTTTGTGTGACTCTTTTTCTCCCAGTCCCTTTCTGTCTTTTGCTCTTCCCAGCTCCTTTGTGTGTGTCTCTTTCACTCCCAGCCCATCTGTCTCCTCCCCCACCCCAACCCCGATGTGTGTCTCTTTTTTTCCCTTCTCAAGCCTCACTGTGTGTTTCTTTCACATCCAGCACCTCTCCCCTCCCAGTCCCTTAGGGGTCCCCTCCATTCCCTGTCCCTTGGTGCACCCTCCACCCCCTTAGTGGTCCCCTCCCCTTCCAGGTGTGCCTTTTAACTCGCTTGTAGCATGGTCAAGTGGAGCGGATCCCCGTACAGGAGCTACAGTTTTCTGTACCTGGCCGGAATGACAGGAAGTACTCTCTCAATGAGCACCTCCTGTCAGTCCGACCAGGTACAGGAAACAGAAGCTCCTGTACCAAGCTCCTCTCCACCACGCTACACTTAGTGGTTAGTGGTTTACTGACAGTCACACTCACTCAATGACAAAACACACAGACGTCACTGACAGACACAGACTCACTGATCTGACACACACTCATTCACTCACAGACACACACATACACTTACTCACAGACCCACACACACACACTCACTAATTATTAATATTTTTAGTATTAAACATTTTCCACCCAGCCTCCCTACCTGGAGAGTCCTACTGGGAGGCGTGCAGCTGTGTTTAAATCCGAGGCTGCTAGGGAGCTGTGATCTTCCTGATCTGCTCCTTCATGGGCTGTCTACTGATGCCGGAAGTCAAAAAATGACGTCATATTCCGGCTCCCGTGGCATCAGCAAATGGTGCGCAAGATAGCAGAGCAGGGAGATCAGAGGTCCCTTTCCACCTCGGATTCAAACACAGCCGCACGCTGCGCCGGGGGTCCATAACATGGCCTGATAGGAGGGAGCGCTTCCCTCCTGCTGGTCCCTAGAATCTTGTGCCCCCCATCCCAGCCCGCCCCTGCCCGTGGCATCAGCAAACGGCGCGCAACGGAGCAGAGCAGGGAGATCAGAGCTTCCTCGCCACCTCGAATTCAAACACAGCCGCACACCGTGATGGGGGTCTATAACGTGGCCTGAGGGGTGGGAGCGCTTCCCTCCTGCCAGTCACTAGAATCTTGCGCCCCCAGAGCCGGCGCGCCCTAAGGCGTCTGCCTTTGCTGCCTTATGGACACGCCCACCCTAGATTTAAGGTGGCCTGGGGACGACGACAATTGCCTCTCTGGCCCCCGTCCCAGTCCGCCCCTGATGTGCGAGTTCATAGCTATTATCCCCTGGTTAATGTTGTATCTCCTGGTTAATCCCTAGTTATGGTTCAGTGGCAAACTGCTATACCACATAGCTTGTTGGCAAACTGCTGTACCACATGGTTTGATGGGTAACTGCTGTACTACATGGTTAGGGTTATGGAGTAAAAGGTTAGACTTCAGTGTTCTCATCCCTTTCTTCCAGCATATACTGTATATCCAGTTTTTTACATTAAATTAAGGGATAGTCAGCAAAAATTATGTGTTTCTTCAATCTACCCTTTTGTACTAAAGGGATATTATAGTGCCAGTACTACAAAGCTGTATTCCTGGCACTAAAGCTCCCCTCTGCCTCCCCCCTCCCTCCATTGCACCCCACCCCCCATGCCCGGGTTAATAAAGTGTTAAAAACCCATTATTTACTTACCTTTTCCCAGCACTGATGTCCCTCTGCGCTGGGCCGACACTCCGCCCCCACCAACGGCCTGCGATGAGCGGATGTTAATGCACATGTGCGGCAAATGCCTCATGCGCACTAGACCTTGCCATAGGAAAGAATTGAATCAATGCCATTCTGTGGGGAAAAATCTGATGCTGGAGGTCCTCATTCAGAGCGTGAGGACGTCCAATGTCAGGCATCTATGACAGGGAGGGGTGCGAAACCAAGGAGTTGAACCTGAACATGCATAAATGAGGTGCTGCTAGGGGGCCAATTTATACAATACACAAGATCCAGCGCACTCACCTATCCACTAAACAGCAACTTCAAAGTTGACAGATTTTATTATTTTTTTAAAAAAAAAACACCTAATCTAGACAAAAATAATGGGGGTTTAGTTACATTATATGATCATACATTGCAAAAGCCTACCACAATGTCAATGTAAGCCATCTTTGGAGCTGCTGTTGCTGTTTAGTGGATAGGTGAGTGCGCTGGATAGTGTGTATTTTATAAATTGGCCCCCAGCAGCACCCCATTTATGCATGCTCAGGTGAATGCAGCCTCCCCCATTTCATATATATATATATATATTTGGGAGTCTAGCCAACTCCTTGGTTTTGCACCCCTCCCTGTCACAGGTGCCTCATCGCAGGGCCCTATTTAGCCTTTTACTGCATAAAGGCCCCAGATGGAATTTTTTCCCCAATTAAGTGGGTTAATCTCATAAGAGCAGACATTAGGCTGTTAGAGTAGGACCCGTCAAATATGGGGTGCATTGACTTTGTGGCAGGCTTATGCAATGTATGATCATATGATGTAACCCCCTATTGTTGCCTAGATTAGGTGTTTAAAAAAAAAAAAAAAAAAACTAATAAAATCTGTCAACATTGAAGTTGCTATTTAACCCCTTAAGGACTGAGCCAAATGTACACATTGTGATCAAAACAAAACCTAAACAAAACATGGAATTTGACTATATGTCTGTTCAACCGTAATTTACCTCTTTCATATTAAGTGCACCCACACTTAATATGTATCATTTTATTCAGGGGAAATAGGGCTTTCATTTAACATCAAATATTTAGCTCATTGGCGGATCCTGTACACTGTACACACTGTACCCCCCCCCACACACTTCTCCCCCATACACACAGTGCTCCCCATACAAAGACTGCACCAGCACACACACACTTCTCCCCCACACACACACTACACCCCCATACACAAAGTGCATCCCCACACGAGCACTGCACCCCCACACACATGTCTCCCCCCCCACGCACACTGCACCCACATACACACAGTGCTCCCACACACAAACACTGCACCCCCATACACACACTTCCCCAACTGCACTCCCATACACACACTGCCCCCACTACACCTTCATACACACACTTGCCCCATACACACAGTGCTTCCACTGCACCCCACATATACACACTGCACTCCCATGCACACACTACACCCCTCACACAAACACACACTGCCCCTTCTACACACAGTGCTCCAACTGCACCCCTATACACACACACTGGCCCACATGCACTGCCTCCCGTACACACACACACACACACACTCTGCACCGCTCACACACTGTCTCCCTTACTCACCCTGCATCCTTCACACACTCAGTGCCTCCCATATATACACACACACACACACTGCCTACTCTCACACACACACACTACTAGAGGCTCTATCCCCTACTACAGCCCCTATCCTGGCAGGCCCCAGGTAAATTGTCGAACTGTTCTTAAACCGTTTGACTATTTACTCTGGGAGGGCGCCACGGCGCTCCTGGCACCATAACCACTACAGAAAGCTGTAGTGGTTATTGTGCCTGGATTGCTTCTTTAAATAATCTATGAGTGCCCCTCCCGAGATAAGACTCTGGATCCGCCAGTGATTTAGCTATGTAACATAAAATGTGAGAAAATAAGAAATGTTATTTGTTTAGTTCTACATGACATTTTAACTGTGAGTGTCATAATACTGTTTGCTTTTACTGCAATAAAATACACATATTTGTATTCAGCGATGTCTCACGTGTAAAACAGTACCTCCTATGTACAGGTTTTATGGGGTTTTGGGAAGTTACAGGGTCAAATATAGCATGTTACATTTTTCACTTTTTACACATTGAAATTGAATTCGCCAGATTGGTTACATTGCCAAAATCTGTTGGCGACGCGTAACAGATTTTGGGGGTCAAAGTTAGAAAAGGTGTGTTTTTTAAAAATGTTTTCATCATATTTTATAATTATTTTATAGTACGTTATATGATATGATGAAAATGATGGTATCTTTAGAAAGACCATTTAATGGCAAGAAAAACGGTATATAATATATGTGGGTACAGTAAATGAGTAAGAGGAAAATTACAGCTAAACACAAAGACAGCAGAAATGTGAAAACAGCCCTGGTCCTTAACAGTAAGAAAATTGAAAATAATTTTGGTCACCAAGGGGTTAAACAGTAAAACATATAAATGTAAAAGCTGTGTTGGCCTGAATTGAAGCTGTGTTGGCCTGTATTGAAAACAATTGACTTGGATAATATTTATATTTGACTGTTTTGGGCTACAGTTTAAGCTTAGCTTGAATTCCGAACAATTCACAGTGTAGAAAATAATGTTATAAGAACCCCTCTAATCATGCTTTTGACAAGGTGTGGCAGCTAATGCTATTCAGTGAGCAATCAAAAGCACATTATTGTTGTCATTTTCTACCAAGTTATCACACAAATAGCTCTGTGAATGAAATGTACTGTAATTCATAAAGATTAGAGTGATAAAAATAGAATGCAGAGTATCACCTTGGGGTGAGTCTGGCTTGTATATGTGAGAGACATCCTGCCAGACAGAAAGGAAGCTCAGTCCTTCAAATACTGGCAGCTAGAAACCTCCAAGAGGCCAACAGCTGGGAGGACATGTACAGTCATAGTCAGGGGCGTTGCTACGGTCCAAAAACACCCTGGGCTTAAGCCCAAGATAAACAAGCCTCTGCAAAGCCCAATGATCAGTCCCTCATAAATTCTATCCATTAATACCTGAAATGTAGCCATCTTGACACAATTGGATACTTACATACAGTTGTAACGAAATATATTCAACCTCCATTGAAAATCAGGTTTATTGTCGAAATGTACCGACTTAAAGCTGTTTGCAATGAGCAAAGCAAACAAAAGTGATTGAAATCAACTTTACACAACAAATGCTTCAATTGGTTTTCCAAAATTCAACTGAAAATTCAACGTATAATGACTTCTCCAGTCTCAATCTTATCCAACCCCCTGAATGGAATCCCTCACAACAGCGCAGTCACCTGACTTCAACCCCATAGAAAATCTCATGCTAAGTTTTGAAGAAGGCGATTTTAGCATGCAAACCCCAAAATAGTACTGAACAGTAGGCCATTGCTCATAAACGATGGGCTAGGATTCCGCAGGAACGCTACCAGAAGCTGGGGTCTGGCTATGCATCTCATTTGCAGCAGGTCATAACAGCAAAAGGGTGCTGTACTAAGTACTAAAGATTCTTGCCATAAAGAGGTTGAATAATTTTGAGACTGGAGATGTCATTATAAGTCATTTTCAGTTGAATTTAGGGAAACAATTTGAAGCATTCATTGTGCTGAGCTATTTCAATTGCTTTTGTTTGATTTGCTCATTGCAAACAGCTGAATGTTTGTACATTCTCACAATAAACCTGATTTTCAATGGGGGTTGACTAATTTTTATTACAAGTGTACAAACACATCCTCACAGTTTGATACTTACAGACATGCACAGATACACATACAAATGTATACACATTGATGGATAGATACATACACACAAACACAGGCACACACAGACACAATCACAGACAGGGTCACACAAACATTCACATAAGGGCCCCCGCATACACAGACATACAGAGTGGCTTCAGAGACAGAGGCAAACATATGCACAGACAAACTTCAACAAATGCACACTCACAGACATACACAGACAGGCACCAACTCACAGGTTACACTGACACAGAAATACACAAACAGTTATTCACAGACAAGCTTCACTGACAAATGCACACTTGCAGACAGACATACACAGACAGGCACACACTCACAGATTACACTGACACAGAAATACACAAACAGGCATGCACACAGACACAGGCATACCTAGATAGGCCACACATACTTTGTCCCTACTTTGTCTCTGTATATCTCTTGACAGGGTTGGAATTTCAGTGAAATTTCAACAAAGTCAAAATGAGTATTTCATAAACATTCTATCTTTATGAAATACAAATTTTTCAGCGGGGGTTACCATGCTGCTTTAAATGAACCTCTGTCTTTAATCTCTGAGGATTATTTTCTTTCAGGAATTGTACAGGAGGATTGGAAAAAGGCAGATGTGGTTGCTGTATTCAAAAAGTAATATTTGCCTGGAAATTATAGACATGTGACCTAACTTCTGTGGCTGGGAAAGTATTTGAAGAGTTATTAAGGGATATCTTTCAGGAATTCATTTTTAGTATAAATCAGCATGGTTTAATGAAACATAGGTTATGTCAACCTAACAATTGCATTCTTTGAAGAAGTAAGTAGAAGTATAGATCTAGGGGTTTTAGTGGGTGGGATCTACTTGAATTTTGCCGTAGACATTCGATACGGTTCCACACAATAGGTTAGTGTTCAAACTAAAATAAATTGGTCTAGATAGGTGGTCTCCAACCTTTTGTCAGTTGTGTACCCCTTGGCAGCCCATTTCCATAAATTGTACCACTTATATTAGTGAATTGTTTGTTATTTTAAATTGACATGTTTTCTCTGTCTCATATCCCCTTTTTCTCTGCCCTAGGCTCCCTTGCTTCCACTCCCTGCAAGGTATATATTATATATATTATATACACACAGTGACACACATGCATATGCACAGACGCATACTGATACACATGCAAATAAACAGACACACAGATATACACTGATATACTTGCAGATAGACAAACACAGACACGAATTCAGATATAGACATACAGATACAAACACTGACACACATATAGACGTACACGTACTTCTGGTTGAGAACCTCTGGTCTAGATGAAAATTCTTGTTCTTGGGTACAACATTGACTTAAAGAAAGAGTACATAGCGCTGTCATTAATGGTACATTTTCAACCTGGGTAAAAGTGGTAAGTGATGTCCCAAAGGGGTCTGTTCTGGGACTGCTTCTATTCAACATATTTATCTTGAAATAGGCATTGAATGTCACGTTTCAGTGTTTGCAGATGACACAAAACTCAATGTGAGCAATACAATATAATTGACTTCACTGAAGATTGGGGGACTGGCCAGATTAAATGTAATGTAGATTTGTAGGTCTAATGCAGAAATTGCAAAGTTATGCACTTCGGGATACAGAATGCACAAACAACTTGAACCCTAAACTGTAGTGAACTAGGGACAACACACAACAAGAATTTGGGAATTGTTATAGATAACAAACTGGGCGAAAATGTGCAATGTCAATTAGCAGTCGCTAAGGCCAGCAAGGTATTGTCATGTATAAAAAGGTGCATATATTTCTGGAAAGGAAATATAATTTTGACTACTTTATAAAAAAAAATGGTTAGACCATACCTTGAATATGCTGTGCAATTTTGGGCACCTGTTCTATAGCAGGATATTATAGAACTAGAAAAAGTGCAGAGGTAGGCTACAATTAATAAAAGTAATGGAAAATTTTAGTTAAGAAAAGTTAACAAAGGGGGGTGGGGCCTGGCAAACAAGATGGCTGGACATGTCTCTCAGTA